AGGCCGAAAAGAAGCAAATGCGGTCCTCTTGGCGGCCTCTGGGGCCGTCTTGGAGACCTCTTGAGGGTCTTTAGGGCTGTCTTGGGCCGTCTTGGAGCCATCTTGGACCGTCTTAGTGGCCCCTGACCCGTCAAACGCTGCCGGAAGCCGTCTTGGGGGCCTCTCTGGGCCGACTTGGGACCCTCTCGGGGTGCTCCGGGGCCGTCTTGGAGAAACCGGAGAAGAATTCATGATTTTTGCCTCTTCGGGCCTTCCTGGAGGACCTCTTGGAGGACTCTTGGGCCGTTTGGGAAGCCTCTTCGGGGCCTCGGCCTCTTGGGCCGTATGCCGTCATTTTCTGGCCGTCTTGGAGGCTTCTGGGGCGAACTTGGAAGCATCTTGGACTCTCTTCGGCCATCTTCGAAGCCATCTTGGACCATCTTGGGCGAACCTGGAGGCCATCTTGGCCGTCTTGGCAGCCATCTTGGAGCCGTCAGGACTGGGAATAGCTTGGCAAACAGGTCTTCCGCGTGGCCCGCGGGACGGGCCGAAGCCCCAGAGGAGAGTCCTTCTCGGAAGAGGAGCCAAAGCCAAACCAGTAGGGTTCAGCACGCCAAGCACCCCTGTTTACCAGCCTGGAACATATCCCTATTCCTATGCTGGGCACCTCCTCGTCACGATGCCAATCTTAGGGATTCCCTTACTTCTCTTTTGAGGGCGAATCCCTAGGATTGTCATCGCCTTTGGCGTGTCAATCTTGGGGATAGGGATACGTTCGAAACTGGTAACCGGTGGCAAGACCGCAGGGGGCGGCGGATGACGGAAAGCGCGCGGAGCGTCGTGAGTCGGCAGTCGGGAGAGATATCAAAGCGGGGGGGGGTAGGCAGCCGCGGTCCCGGATGACGGAAAGCGCGCGCAGCGTCGCGATCCGTTCATCGGGAGGAAGAACAAGGGAGGGTGGGGGGGTAGGTAGCCTGGGATTCAGATCTAATTTTCCCAAGCTTCGGCCATCTTCGGCCCAAGACGACCTAAGTCAGCCCCAAGATCGCCCAAGAGGCCCCCAAGTCGGCCCAAGAGGTCCCAAGATACCTCCAAGGCAGCGTCGGAGAGGTCCAAGAGGTCCCGAAGACAAGAGCGCCCCATTGAGTGTCCAATATGGTTTCAGGACAACCCAAAAGGCCCCAAGGCGCCCCAAAATGCCCCAAAAGGGAACTCCAAAGAGGCAAACATCGCTTCTTTGGTCTTCACAGCGTCCAAAACGGTCCAGGAGTCCCCCAAGACCGCCCCAAGACGGCCCTAGAGGCCCCCAAGACGGCCAAAGTGGGCGTCAAGACGGCCCAAGAGAGCCCGAAGAAAGCCCAAGAGAGGCCCCTGAGGGCCCCGAAAGGTTCCCAAGAGAGCCCCAAGACGGCCCCAGGAGGTCCCCAAGGGGACCCAGGAGGGCGCCCAGAGGGCCAAAAGACGGCCCAAGCCCGCAAAGACGGCCAAAAAGGGTCCTGGGACGGCTCAAGAGGGCCCCAAGACGGCCCAAAAGAGAGTATATTGGTCAGCCACGCAATGCGCATTGTAGTATATTGCATGGCGTATAAACAGCATCGCCAAACAGTCCACAGCATGCTTTTGCTCATCATTGCATACCCAGGGCCCGAACACGGCCTTAACATGTTGAAGATCTAGCGAAAACGTCACTGTCAGTTTCGTCGCGGCGCTCGGGATATTGGAGCCTCGCCGTTCCCAATCATCTTGTGGTGTTGGGTCCCCGTTTGAAAAGACAGCGACCCGCGTCCTCTTTTCCTCATCATCCCCCTCCTCGCTCCTTCCATCCAATCCCTGCCCTCCACATGTCTATTCGACACACCCCTTACACGTTTCGTGGCCCGATTGGGAGCTCCACCGACGGCCACAGAGGCAACGCCTGCATGCGGTTCAACGCAAGTGTCGATCACCCTCGCACGTTCCGTGGCCCCATCGGGAGCCGCCCACCGAAGGCCCCCGCGGCAGCACCAGCATGCTCCCTCCCCCTTTTCGGCACCCCTTCCATTTTTCGTGGCCCCATAGGGGGCTACACCCATGGCCCCTGTGGCAGCGCCCGCAGGCGGTTCCACCTCCCCATTTCCGCACACCCCTAGACGCGTCGTAGTATTATAGGGGGCTTTCGAAAGGCCCCAGTAGCAGCGCCCGCGTGCGGTTCCACCATCATGCCGGTGCACCGCTCACACGCTTCGTGGCCACATTGGGAGCTCCACCGGAGGCCCAAATGGCAGCGCCCGCACGCGGTGGCACCGTCCATTCCGACGAGCTCCTCACACGCTTCGTGGCCCCCATAGGGAGCTCCACCGAATGCCCAAGTGGCAGCGACCGCATGTGGTTTCACCCCCCTTTCGGTGCACCCCTCACACATTGCGTGCCCCATAAGAGAGCTCCACCGAAGGCCCCAGGGGCAGCTCCCGCACACGGTTTCACCTTGCATTTCCGCGAACCCCTCGTTCGTGTTGTGGCCCCATACGGAGCTCCACCTAAGGCCCAAGTGACAGCGCCTGCATGTCGGCTCCATGAGATCCACGCGCTTCATGGCCCCATAAGGAGATCCACCGAAGGCGATACTGACAACGACGATAATCACAATTGCATATGGTTGGGCCACTCGCCAGGCTGAGCTTGTTTGGCGCTTCCGCCTCGGAAGCCTGTCCCTTGGCGGCCGCGGTGCAGCGGCGGACGCAGGGAAGAGGGAGCAAGGTCCGACCGGCCACCACCAGGAAGGGCCGAAGAGGGGGGCGAGAAGGAGCAGAAGCAGCAGAGCAGAGCCGAGCGCCAATCATCCGATGACGTTCAACTGCCTATCAAAACGCACCCGGATGGCCCTCAGGGAAACAGAAAATTTATCAGGCGTTCGAGAACCCTTTTAGGGGCTCGAGATTCTTTATGGCCCTGCAGGGGGATGCCACTGGCCAAACGAGACCCCCAAACGAGGACGCCTCGGGGGCTCGCTTGAGGGCACTCCAGACTACGTAGCGAGCCGAAGGGTGAACGACAAATGAGCCCACCCCGGCACAACATAGCGCAGAAGCAGCATAGCTGCAGGTCAAAGTCGTGGAAAGACAAACGGACTGGAACGGTCAGAAGCGAGTTCAGCTCGAATCGGTCGGGCCCGCAATCGCGCAAACGATCGCAGCGGCAAAAGGAGGAGAGGAAGGGGAGCGGGCCGCTTACAAGCTTACAAGCGATTCAGGTTCGGTTCTGGGACGGGGCCCTGGGCAGATCCGCGGCGATCACTTCCGACTTGTCGGCAGAAGCCTTCTGCGTGAGCCCGTTCGTGAACTCGCTCATGACGGAGTCCACAGTACAGAGCGGGATGGTGTCGAACAGCGGATCCGCGACGGTCACTTCCGACTTGTCGTCAGAAGCTTTCTCGTTCATGATGGAGTCCAATTTGAAGCCAGAGCTGAGCAGGAAGGTGTCGAACAGCGGCCAGAACGGATCCTTGACAGTCACTTCCGATTTGCGGGCAGACGTTTGCTTCGTGAGCTCGGTCATGATGGAGTCCGCATTGAAGCGTAGGATGGCAGGATGGTGTAGCACAGCAGCCAGAACAGATCCGTGACGGTGACTCCCAACTGGTCGGCAAAAGCCTTCCCCGTGAGCTGGCTCATGGTGGAGTCCAAATTGAAGCAAGGTGTGAGCAGGAAGGTGCCGAACAGCAGCCAAGGCAGATCCTTGACGGTCAATTTCGACTTGTCGGCGGAAGTTTTCTCAGTGAGCTTGGTCATACTGGGATCCACATTGAGCAGGAAGGTGGCACAGCAGCAGCCATGGCAGATCCGTGACCGTCACTTCCGCCTGCGCCCGCATGACGCTCCCTGTGTGTGTGCCGACCAGCCGTACTCCGAGGTCGCGCTGTTGCCCGTGATGGCCTCCTGGCCCTCCTGCATGCGGTCCATGTGCTCCGGTAGGTTAGACGTCTCGTCCCCGATGTCCGACGGGTGCATCAGCTCCTCGACCACGCCATCTCCTCCATCCGCGCCTGCCTGTCTACGACGTTCGCGATGCAGTGCCTGATAAAGGCCCAGCCCTCGAGGAAAAACTGTGAGCCATTAGCGCACGCGGAACATCTGAACCCCATTGGCATGGGTGATGTTTGGGGATGCTAAGAGACATGAAGAAGAGTATGGGAGCACGGGCTCCTGGTGCCCAAACATCCTTGTGTTCCTGACCCAGATGCCTTAAGGATGAGGGGGAGGAAGGGGAGGAAGAGGAGGAGGAGGAGGAGGAGGAGGAGGAGGAGGAGGAGGAGGAGGAGGAGGAGTAGTAGGAGAAGGAGGTGCTGCGGCGCTGTGCCCCGCGCGCTCGGCGCCTGGGATCGCCTCCTCCGCCGAGAAAGGACCACGACGACGCGATCGCGAGGATGGACAAGAGGGTGGCCGAGGTCCACGGCCAGGTTCGAGGCCCGTCCCTCCCCGCGCCGAGGTGCACGTCGTCGTCGTCGTCGTCGTCGTCGTCGTCGTCGTCGCCCGCCTCTGTCTGCTGCTGCCCTTGGCATCGAGGACCGACGCTGGTATGGAAAGTACGGCGACGAAGGCTGGCAGCAGTTCCCTTCCATTCTGGACAGGGCTCGCGGTCGGTGTCGCCGTGGACGTTGTCCATTTGAGACGAAAGGGCGCCTGCCCCAAGTGCGGCCGCAGTCGGTTTCGGACAGCATTCGTTGCTGGGTATCGTCTCCATTTGCTCCCAACAATCCCGTGGTGTTGGGCCTTCGGTTTGAGGGGACAGAGCCCCGCAGCCTCTCCTAGTCTCTCCTCCCCCTCCTCCCTCCTCCCATCCATGCCTCTGCCCTCCGCAAGTCCATTCGGCACACCCCTCGCACGACTCGTGGCTCAACAGGGAGCACGACGACGACGACGACGACGACGACGACGACGACGACGACGACGACGACGACCACGACCACGACCACGACGACGACGACGACGACGACGACGACGACGAGCGCTGGGCCGACCGCGCGCGCGGGCGCGCCGCTCTCCGGCTCTGGCGCGAGCCGCGCGGGCCACTCGGCAGCACGAAGGCGCCCGCGGCGCCGCGCAGGACGCAGGCGCGCCGCTCCTCTCCGGCCCTGGGCGCGGGGCGCGGATATCCGGGCCTCGGGGGCGGAAAAGAGGAGGAGGAGGAGGAGGAGGAGGAGGAGGAGGAGGAGGAAGAAGGTGGCCGGGTTTCGACGGCAGTGCCGGGCCGGAGGCTTGCGCCGCACCGCTGGTGCACGGGTGATGCTTCGGCGCGGTTCGGGGCGGATATCATGGCGTGGGCCATGATATTTCCCCAGATCTTATGGCGCCTCTTCTGATTTCATTACGTCCCTGGCCCCCCCTGCTGGGCCGCGCACATGCCGCCGGTCATGATTTGGACCCCCCCTCTTGGACACCCCCCTCTTGGCCGCTCCCGAAGGCCTCCTAGCCCAGACAGGCCCGCGACGTCATGAGTTTTTCATCACGTCGATCCCCAGAGTTCTCCATTCTTCAGGGCCGGTTTCTCATCCCGAGTCGTTTTGTGTCACTGTCCCGAGGCCCGGCTTTGGGCCCCGGGAGGCCGAAAATCAGGAAGAAATTCCCGTCGTGATTTTGTCATTGCCCTAGGGGGTCTGGGAGGTGGGGTCGGAGTAGATGGGGTCGGAGAATCGCGCCGCTTCGCCGATGCATCGCTGATGCGTCTCGATGTGGAGCCCGATATCATATCGGCGATATGCTGCACGTCGACGTCGCCGATGCACCGCCCACGTCGACGATGCATCGCCAGTGCATCGCCGATGGCCGATGCATCTCCGATGCATCGGCGAGGCGGCGCGCCTCTCCGACCCCACCTATGTCGACCCCACCTGGGAGGCCTCTGACGAAGGCGCTGCTCGGGGGCCCAGAGATCCGACGGGTTCGAGGTTCGAGGTGGTCGGGCGTGTTCGTGCCCTGTGATCCTTGCGCTGCGGCTTTTTTCACGCCGGGGGTCTTCGCTCCATGTCGGGCCCCGGGACCTGCACGGATCGATCATCGGCTTGCAACATGACGCAGGAGGATGAGGTTTGGGGCTCTGGAGGCGATTTGTGCAATATTTTTTTCCGACAGCGACGGGTCTCAGGGTTCGAGGTTTTCGGGCGTCTTCGTGGGTCTTCGGCGGCTTGTCGACCTCGGGATGCGTGCCAGCGGCTGCGCCTCGCCGAGAGCGTTCCGGGGGTGCCCAGGTCTTCTCAAACGGCCGCCAGAGACCCGAGTCATGACCCAGAAACTGATGCGGGGGCGCGCCCAGGTTTACCAGCGTGGATCGTATCCCTATCCCTATGCTGGGCATCTCCTTATCACGATGCCAATCTTAGGGAATTCCTTATTTTTTGAGGGCGAATCCCTAAGATTGTCATTGCCTTTTGGCGTGTCAATCTTAGGGATAGGGATACGTTCCAGACTGGTAACAGGTGGGGACGTGGGAGGGGAAGGCCTTCTCAGAGAGCGGCGGGTCTCCTCAGAAGCCCTCGCGCCCTCTGAGAGGTTCTCTCCTGCGTCGCTCGGGGGAGGGCAGCGGGAACTTCTCAAAAGGCCCTGGGACTTCCGAGCTGTCTGAGAAGACCTCCTCCTCCTTCTCCCCCTCCTCCTCCTCCTCCTCCTTCTCCTCCTCCTCCTCCTCCTCCTCCTCCTTCTCCTCCTCCTCCTCCTCCTCCTCCTCCTCCTCCCTCCTCCTCCTCCCCCTCCTCCCCTCCCCCCCTCCTCCTTCTCCCTCCTCCCCTCCTCTTCCTCCTCCTACTTCCTCCTCCTCCTCTTTCCTCCCCTTCCTCCTCCTATTTCCTCCTCTCCTCCTCCTCTGCGTTTCTCTCTCTCTCTCTCTTTCTCTCTTTCTCCTCCTCCCTCCTCCTCCTCCTCCTCCTCCTCCTCCTCCTCCTCCTCCCGGGAGCCGAAACATGGGAGCGGCCAGATTGGGCGACCGTCTGCGGCCCCCAGGGGCCCTCGCGCGGCCTCGGGGCCGTCAAAGAGCGACACCGGGGCGAGAGAAAAGCCGGCCTCGGGGGAGTGATCCAGGCGCCCGGGGCCCACGCATCGAGACCACTGGAGCGGCGGGGTGTCTGGGGCAGGGCCTCCTCCTCCTCCTCCTCCTCCTCCTCCTCCTCCTCCTCCTGGGGGGCGCGTGGTGGGCGGGAGAACAGGGGGTCAAGCAGTAGGCTTATGTCGGGCATGTCTCTATACAGGAGGAATGTTCAAGAATAGCCCGGAGGCGATATGGGGACGATGTTTCTGCCATGTTTGACGCTTTCCGATGTTTGTTTGGCTATGTGTCGCTGTTCTTCCAAATCCGCCTGTAGGAGGACATGCCCGACCTTACAGTAGGCCTGCAGGCGCCATGGGCGCCAATAGGCAATATGGAGGATAGGTCAAGACCCAGATCCCCGACGTCATGATTTTTCCTCACGCCGACCCCCAGAGTTCTCGACCCATTCCCCAGGACCCGTTTCTCATCCTGAGTCGCCTTTTTACAGTCCTGAGGCCCAGTAAGGGTCCCCGGAGGCCGAATCGGGAGCCTTGAGACGGGGTCAATACAAACGGGGGTCAGCCAGAGCGCCCGATCTTGCAGGATCTTGCAGGGCCAGGGTCGCATTGACCCGGGTTTGGGCGCAGGATCCTGGAGGATCTTGCAGGATCCTTCGCATTGACCCGGGCTTGGGCGCAGGATCTCACAGCAGGACCTTGCCGGGCCCTGCGTGCCCTGGCTGGCCCGGGTCGGCGGATCCCCGACCGAAAGCAACGAGAAACCATCGGTCATGATTTTTTCTCATGCCCCGAGAGGGTCTGGGGAGCAGGGGGGTCAACCTGGCATCGCTCGGACGTGTGCATTTTTTCTCGGCGAGAACCATCGAGGACCATCCTGGACCATCGAGCAAAAAAAACACGCACGAAACCGACAAATGCACGGGAAATGGACGTCCGAGCGACGGCAAGTCACGCGGTGCCGAGGCGCCCCGGCTTGCCTCCGCAGGCCCCCCCAGTGCGGTGCCGAGCGCCCTCCGGCGGTGGGGGAAGGGGTGTGCGCAGGCGGGTGCTGGCCGAGGCAGTAGGAGGAGGAGGAGGAGGAGGAGGAGGAGGAGGAGGAGGAGGAGGAGGAGGAGGCGGAGGAGGAGGAGGCGGAGGAGGAGGAGGGGTAGGAGGAGGAGGAGGGAGGAGGGGGTAGGAGGAGGCGGAGGGGGAGGAGGAGAAGGAGGAGGGGGAGGAGGAGAAGGAGGGGGGGAGGAGGAGAGGAGGAGGAGGAGGAGGAGGAGGAGGAGGAGGAGCTCTGGGTAAAGGGCAGCTCGAGTGCCGTTCCCGGAGCAGCCGCCGTCCCCCGGGCCTCCTCGGGCAAGGAGAAGTCCGCCTGGCGAAGGACCAAGGACCCAACCATCTCTCGGGGGCGGCAAAGAGGGGGGTGATGACTAGGGGGGGGTGGATATCATGGCGTGGGCCATGATATTTCCCCAGATCTCATGGCGCCTCTTCTTGCTTCATTACGTCCCTGGCCCCCCCGCTGGGCCGCGCACATGCCGCCGGTCATGATTTGCACCCCCCCCTCTTGGACACCCCCCTCGTGGCCGCTCCCGAATATCTTGGCATCGCTCGGACGTGTGCATTTTTCCTTCGGCGAGGGCCATCGAGGAGCATCCTCGATCATCTGGCGAAAAAGCCACGCACGAGACCGAAAAAAAACCGAGGAAATGGACGTCCGAGCGATGGCCAGATATGCAGCGTGAACGCCGTCCCTGTATGCACCGCCTTCGGAGGAGCTCCCCATGGGGCCACCAAACGTGCGAGGGGTGTGCCAAAATGGGTGCGGTGGACAGAAGGGTACATACAGCTACCCTTCCCTCGGTTCCCCCTTTGGGGGTTCCATGGTGGCCCTCGTCGCCATCGCTGGATTCGCTTCGAAATTCTGGCCAGAACGCACTCCTTGGAAAGGGCTGGGAGGTAGCGGTATCGGCACGTCTTTTCTACCCTAGACCCAGGTCATGTAGGGCTCATGCCGACCCCTCCGACCCGATTCGAATTGATCTCGATCGAATATGTTGCCGTTTTTGTTTCTGCTGCCGCCGTCGCCGTCGTTGTCGCTCTCGTCGGCGTCGTCGTCGTGGCCGTCGTCGTCGGGCGCCCTCCCTCCTCCTCACAACTATTCCTCATCCTTCCAGGGTCAATTTTGATCCGATGGATCCAACTCGACACCGATTCTGGCCGGCTCGGTCCGATTTGATTCCGATGCTCCGGAAATCTTGCCACGGCCGATCCGATCGGATTTTTTCAGAGCCGATGCAGACCGATCCAACGCACATCCCGATTCGACCCGACTTCCCGATTCGATGCCGATCGGTCCTCTCTTCTCACCCCGCCCTCCTGCATGCTGCGCCGCGCCGCTGGGAGGCCCGTCGAGATGCCGCCACAGCAGAATGGCGGCGGCTCTTCGCTGGGGGACCTGTACTCGAAGTGCGTACAGATGGCAACTTGCCGCCGTCTTCCGCACCGTCGTCAACGCTTTCGGTTATAGGAGGAAGGGGTACTCATACCGCTACCCGTCGCTCGTTTTCCCCCTATTTCGGCCTCCTGGGTGGCCCTCATCGCCACTGCTGGATTCGCTTCGAAATCTTGTTCAGAACGCACCCCGGGAGAGGTCTGGGGAGTAGCGGTATCGGTACCTTTTGGGTTTTCTCCATTTGGGGGGACTTCTTCCCTGAGGTGTTGGCATCACATTTTTGCTGCAGCGGGCGACTTTGCCTTGTGCCGGCCCCCGGATCCTCACGGATCGCTCCGGCTCGACGAATATTGGGGTCCAGGGCGCCGGTCGCGATTTGTCGCATTGTTTCTTTATTTTTTTGGGGCATAATGGGCATTATAGCCCCCAGCCTCCGGCGTGATCGTGATCGTTTTTTCCATGGCGTGATCATTACCAGGGATTCCAAAGGTATAAACAAATATTATAGACCCCAGCCCCCCTTCCTCCCCCATAACGTAACGCCCCTCCCCCCCAGTCTCGCCAAAAATTGAGAAACGCGCTCCTGTTGCCACGCTTTGCAACGTAGGGTCTCCGGCTCCAGAGAAGGTGCGCACCTTCTCTGGATCCGGAGGTATCGCTGCTCGTACTTCAAGCAGTGGTGAATCTTTTGTGGTTTCCACGAAATGTTCTTTGAACATTTCTGGCGGAGTCTGTCTTGTCTTGTTTCAAACGCAAGAGGATTATGCTCTAAGAGCATTGTTCTTGCTCTTGGAACATTTTTGGGTTCTAAAAACATTTCGTGGTAGGACCACAGGAATGCCGGGACGGTCGGTCCCTGCGCAGTACTGGCGAGGCCTCGTCGCTAGGGCCGGGCTCTCTTCGAGCAGCTCTTGTCGGAGCGCATCCTGGGAAAGATCGCGAGCAGCGGTGTCGATGCCTTTTTGCCCCCCGCTGCAGGAGGGGAGAAACCTTGTTTCGTCGTCAGTGGCGAGGCGGGGAAATCCGCTCCAGCGAGAAGCCAGATAGTGGCATTAGCTAGCGAATTATCCGGCGAGCAAAAAGGGGGGGGGGGGGGGGGGACGGCCGAGAGGAAGAAGGGACGCTCAGACGCCGAAGAGTTCGACGATGAGCAGCCGGGAGGGCAGCAGCAGCCAGGCGCGCAGGGCGGAGGGGAGAAAACACACTGACACAATTCATCGTCGATCCCAGAGAAGAAGTTGGAAAGTGGGAAGCGGGGGGGAAGAAGACGGAACGTCCAGAACATCTGAGCAGATAGGGGGGCTCTTGGGAGTTGTTTGTGCTTGTTTGTGTGCGCCTGGGCCCTTTTTTCACCACCTCTGGAGCGTGACTCACTGAGTGTGACTCCCGGCCTTCAATGTGTGGCTTGGGCCGGGCTCCCGGGGGAGCGGCGTGTGATTCAAGCAGTGGCGAAGCCTCTTGGCGTGCCTATAGGCGTACCAAACGATGTTCTAATAACCTTTTTGTGGTCTGCACGAAATGTTTTCAAAACGCTGGCTGGGACCGTCTTGTTTTCACACATCCGGTGAATGTTCTAGGAGCATTGCTCCGGTTATTAGAACACTCTCGGGTTCTGAGAGCATGTCGTGGTAGGCTTATAGGAATGCCCGGACGGTCGGTCCCTGCTCAAGTGGTGGCAGCAGTGTCTCAAGCCGAAGAGACCCCTTGCGGTTGGCGGATTTCAGGGTTGTGGCTCGGTGGCCAATCATGGGAGCCTCGTGTGCCCTCGCAATCAGGTCTTTCGCGTCGATTCGGGTCGAGTGGCGTCTGGGAGTCGACGAGGTAGCGCCGATTTAGCGTCGCCGCTATCGATGTTTGCGTCGATTAGCGTCCATTTGGCGTCGATTCGCAAGGGCCGGCACGATGCTATGGGAGGCTCCCATGGGTTGCCACCGAAGTTGTGGTACTCGTTGCAGTGTGAGTTTGGTGATATCTTCGCTGTGGCAGGAACGTCCGAATTGTTGGTCGGCATGAACTCCTGTGTGCTCGTGGCCACAGCAATTGGAGTCATCGCCTGAATAGCCGCAGGAGTCGTTACAGTGCGACTGTACTGTTGGTCTCGGTAGTAGTTGTGGGCGCAGTGGTAATGTCGCCGTTGCAGTGTCATCGCTGTCGTCTTCGCCAGCGTCGCCGCAACCAACCCCGTCGCTCCATCGTTTGGTTACCCTCTGTTCCCAACCCCTTTTCTCAAATTGTTTAGATCTCCTTTGGGATGGCCGCCAGTTTCTTCGACACTTGTCGCGGAACAGTTGGATTTTTACTGGCCGCGGTCAGTCTCGAAGCCAGGCATGCAGTGACCGGCTTGAATAAGGATCGCTTACTTTTCAAAACGGGTTCGGTCGTTCGTTGGGCTTGCATGCGTTATGTATCGTTCCTTATGCGGTATGTATATATATATATATATATATATATATATATATATCCGTAAGGGCTTCGCCCCCTGCCGCCGGCCCCCTCTCTCGGAGAATGCGCTATGCAAGGGCTAGCACTATGTCATGAGCCCTGGGCGCTGTGGTGAAACATTATCGGAACTTCATGCGAGGCCGACTCGTAATAAGCAAAACCAATTGATCACCACAGGGGTTACCGCACCTGGCGGATGGTAAGACGTCGTGACCCTGCGGATCTTCGTGAGGGGTGCCACCGAATTTTAGAAATATGGCAAATCTCCATGTGTTTTTGGACCCTGACCTTACAGATCGGCGTGAGGGGTACCACCGAATTTGAGAAATGTGGCAAATCTCTTGTGTGTGTTGGACCCTGACCCTACGGATCTGCGTGATGGGGTGCCCCCGAATTTCAAAAAGGTGGCACATCCTATATGTTTTCGGGCCCTGACCCTACGGATCTGCGTGAGGGGTGCCACCGAATTTGAGAAATGTGGCAAATCCCTATGTGTTTTTGGACCCTGACCCTACGGATCTGCGTGAGGGGTGCCCCCGAAGTTGAGAAATGTTGCAAATCCGCTGTGTTTTTGGACCCAGACCCTACGGATCTGCGTGAGGGGTGCCACCGAATTTGAGAAATGTGGCAAATCCTTGCGTGTTTTTGGACCCTGACCCTACGGATCTGCGTGAGGGGTGCCACTGGATTTTACAAATGTGGCAACTCTTTATGTTTTTGTGACCCTGACCCTACGGATCTGCGTGAGGGGTGCCACCGAATTTCAGAAATATGGCAAATCCTTTATGTTTTTGGGCCTTGACCCTACGGATCTGTGTGAGGGGCGCCACCGAATTTCAGAAATGTGGCAAATCTCATGTGTGTTTGGGGCCCTGACCCTACGGATCTGCATGAGGGGTGCCACCGAGTTTAGAAATATGGCAAATCCCGTGTGTTTTTGGACCCTGACCCTGCGGATCTGCGAGAGTGGTGTCACCGAATTTCAGAAATGTGGCAAATCTCCTATGTGTTTTTGACCCTGACCCTATGCGTGAGGGGTGCCACCGGGTTTCAGAAATGTGGCAAATCCCTTGTGTTTTTTGGACCCTTACCCTACGGATCTGCGTGAGGGGTGCCACCGAATTTCAGGAATGTGGCAAATCCCTATGTGTTTTTGGGCCCTGACCCTACGGATCTGCGTGAGGGGTGTGGATTCCCCCCCTCAGAAATTCTGAGAACCCTCCCAGGGCGTGGTAGTTCTGCTGGTTTGGGCTCCCCCCCCTCGCGCGTTCATCAACAAGGAACAGTAAGCAGCAAGAAACAGAACTGTAACGGTGGAAACTGGAAGCTACAACTGGTACAGGGAGCAGCACACTCCCGGCCTACAGCCTGGTGGCCCCGCAAGGGGGCCGGCGGATTATTTGTCGTTCCTTATGCGGTGTTCGTTGGGAAGAAGGGGCTTCGTTTCGTATGTATCGTTCCTTAGGTCAGCCCGATGACTTCAGGGGCGAAGGGGGCGAATTCATGGCGCCGAGAACGAGAATAACTGGAGGAGTCGTCAGACCCACGCGCTGCCGGCTTCGGTGACGTTAGGCGGTTCAGATAACGCCCCCTGCTGATGGGAGCGAGACGGCTGCTTCCCTCGGACAGGTGAACGAGAACAAGATATCCACAAAGAATGCCTTCGACTTGCCCCTCATCGATCACATGGACGATATCGTTGCTGGGGCTGGCCGAACAATATGATCACGTCGGTGGTGGCGTCCTGTTTGCCCGCTGCTCCCATTCGAGACTTCCGCGTGCAAGCAACCAGCGTGTTTGACTTGATCATCGAAGCCTAGCTTTTGTTATCCTCGCTGCTCCTCCTGGTGCTCATCCTCATCCTCCTCGTCGATTCTTCCTCCCCTTCTACACGGAGGAAGGGGCCAGGCCTTAATCCCCATCAGGGTTTCTTTCCCCCACCCTGTGCGGTCAGATGCAACTCCTGAGAGGTTGAATTGAGCATCGGTGCCGGCATATCCTGGTCCCGCACAGTCTGTCAGTCCCCTCCTGATCCCGCTCAGTCCGCCCTGCTCCGGCTCAATCTTGGGTTCATTCCGGCTCCATCTGGCTCATTTGCAATTTGTTTCGTCCTTCTTGGCCCTGCATTCTTCTTGCCAAGACCTCCCAGGACCTGCTTCCCAATGCGTGGGTCGCGAGATTCACTGGCCGTCCGTTCGCCTTCTCAGCTCTTCCGGAGTCCGCGCGGATCCCTCGCATCGGCGCTGGGCCCCCCTTGGCGGCGCCGCCCCTGGTGCACTCCGGGCGCCAGGGGGGGGTGCCCTCCCTCCACCCACTGGGCCCTCCTGCTCTGTTTAGAGGCTGGTTTTTGTTTGGATCGGGCGATCACCCGGGCTGGGCTATCGGGCTTGCCCCCCTCCCCCCCCCCAGTGCCGGCTGTGCAGGTCCGCGGGAGGGGAGGGGCGCGGGCATGTGCAGGGCTGCCCACAGCGCGAGGGTTGGGTTATCGGCCGGCCCCCTCCCCCCACCCCCCAGGATAACCCGGGCTATCGCCGATTCAAATAAAATTGTTTCTTATGGAACGTCAGCATGGACCAAGGCGCGCGGAATACAGTCGGGCCGCTGAGGAAGGGACCCTGAGGTCTTCTGTGGGAAAGCGAAGTGCAGCTTATGCAAACAAGGTGCCCCGTTCCTTATCCAGTCACCGCCCACCGAACCACCCCAAGGCAGCCCGCAGGCCTCAATGTGCCCTCCGTGTCGGCTGGGGGGAGGGGGGTCGGGAAACGATGGAAAAACTCTTATGGAACCCGCACCCCCCCCCCCCCCCAACCCGAAATGGGGGCAGCGTCCTCCTCCTCCTCCTCCTCCTCCTCCTCCTCCTCCTCCTCCTCCTCCTCCTCCTCCTCCTCCTCCTCCCAGGCGTGGCCTGGCAGGCAGTCGTGTGAGAGGCTCCCGGCGGCAGCGCGTCGACTGCAGCGGCGGGGCCCGCTGCCGCACGAGCTCATGCGCGCCCCGTCGCCCCCCCTCGGGGAGCACGGGCGCGATGAGTCGCAGGCGATTTCTCTCCCCCAATCCCCGACTTCCGCCAGAAAAGTTTGGTCGCTCAGAAAAGGGGAGGAATCTTGGGATACATCCCGAGGGGGCTATTCGGACGCACCCCTGTCGAGGATGGACGCCCCCCCTCGTATATCCCAGGGTTGGGCCCCAAATTGTTGATCCTCTCGAAAACCTCACGGAGCCTGGGATAGGGGTCGACGCATCCCCTGTTAATGAGGGCTCTTGTCTTAAGTCGGGCGTGCCCCTCCACAGGGGGGATATGCAAGAATAGTCCAAACATAGGCTGGGGACATTTTTTTTCTGTTTTTTCAATCGTTTTGGACTATGTTTTAAGTCTTTTTATGTTTCGTCGGAAGTCCCCCTGTAGGGGGACAGGCCCGACTTAACTCTTGTTGTTTCTTCTACAGTCCACCTCAGCGTGCGCCCGACTCTGTTCCGTCCCGCCCGTCCCCGATGCGACGGCGACCCGCCGCGATATCGTGGAGCCCCCCGGGAGGCAGGGCGCGAGAGCGAGACGGTGTCTGGGCGATCTCGTGGCTCGCTGTCGCCTCGATCTCTTCCTGCATGCAGGGGCGGAACGAGCGATGGAAATCTGAAGCCAAACGGGAACACAGCACACTGCTCAGGGCGATCTTGTGGCTCGCCCTTCGTCTCGACTTCTCTCTGCATGCAGGGCGGAGCGAGCGATGGAACATCGAAGCCACATGGGAACGCAGCACGCTGTTCGGGTCGAGCCCTGCTGGGAGGCCTCCAGTCTTGTGGCTCGCCTTCGCCTCGGTATCTCTCCGCATGCAGGGGCGGAGCGGAGCGATGGAACATCGAAGCCACACGGGAGCACAGCACGCTGTTCGGGGCGAGAGCCCTGCGGGGAGGCCTCCGGTCTTGTGGCATCACCTTCGGCTCGGTATCTCTCTGCATGCAAGGGCGGAGCGAGCGATGGAACATCGAAGCCACACAGGAACACAGCACGCTGTTCGGGGCGAGAGCCCTGCGGGGAGGCCTCCGGTCTCGTGCATCGCCTTCGCCTCGGTATCTCTCTGCCTGCAGGGGCGGAGCGAGCGAAGGAACATCGAAGCCACACGGGAGCCCAGACCCCCGACGTAATGATTTTTTCATTACACCGTCCTTCAGAGGTCCCGACCCTTTCCCCATGACCAGCTTTGCGTCCTGAGTCGTTTTTTGACGCCCCCGAGGCCCGGTGAGGCCCCCCGGAGGCCGAAAATGCAGGAAAACCTCCCGTCATGATTTTTTCATTACTCGAGGGGGTCTGGGAAGCCACACGGGAGCACAGCACGCTGTCCGGGGCGAGAGCCCTGCGGGGAGGGGCGCCAGTCTTCGCGTGCGCCGCCCCTGTCTGTTCCTTAACATCACTCAAACGTGTGCATTTTTTTCTCGGCGAGGACCTTCGAGGAGCATCCTCGACCACTTGGCGAAAAAACCACGCACGAAAAGCGAGCGATGGAACATCGAAGCCACACGGGAGCACAGCACGCTGCCCGGGGCGAGAGCCTTGCGGGGAGGGGCGCCAGTCCCAGACCCCCGACGTCATGATTTTTTCATGACGTCGACCCCTAGAGGTCCCGACCCTTTCCCCATGACCGGCTTCTCATCCTGAGTCGTTTTTTGACGCTCCCGAGGCCCGGTGAGGGCCCCCCGAGGCCGAAAATTAGGAAAAACCTCCCGTCGTGATTTTTTCATTACTCGAGGGGTCTGGGGTCTTCGCGTGCGCCACCGGGGCCCGCGGCGTCGCCCCCTCTTGTCTGCTCCCGACGGGGCCCCCGGCGCTCTCGGCCTCCGCCGCGGGGCCATGCCTGCCTCGTCGGGGAAGGGATGGCAGCATACCGTCGGGGGCGTTGACCGAAGGAACCCAAAATATGCCCAGACCCCCTCGGGTGACGAAAAAATCACGACGAGAGGGTTTCTCTCCTTTTCGGCCTCCGGGGGCCCTCACCGGGCCTCGGGAGCGTCAAAAGACGACTCAGGATGCAAAACCGGTCCCGAGGAAAGGGTCGGGACCTCTGGGGGTCGACGTCATGAAAAAATCATGACGTCGGGGGTCTGGGTATGGAACGAGGCCCCTCTTTTCCATGAGTTAAGCTTCGAATTCCGATCGGAAACAGAAGGAACACCTGAGGCAAGCTGCGAAACACGGAAGGAACGCGGAGCCCCTCCCCAACGAAAAGGGTTCCTTCTTCAGGGCCCCGACTGTAAGCATAGCTTGGTGTAATCTGGCCCAGTCCCCTCCTAGTCCCGCTTAGTCCATCCCGATCCGGCTTACTCTTGGCCCTCATCTGGCCCCCGTCTGGCCCACATGCAATCTCTATATAGTTTCTGTTGGCCCTCTATTGTTGCTTGTGTGTTTCTGCAGATTGTTGCTCATCTATCTCGACCTTCCCTGGGACCCCGATTGTTCATCCCCAGGCCTCGCGCTGTGGGAACGAACACGACGGGAGGTGTTTTTCGTTATCCTCGGCCTTCGGGGGTCCTGACCGTGCCTCGGGACATTCAAAAAACGACTCAGGATGAGAAACGTTCCGGGGAGTGGGTCGAGACCTGTGGACTCAACGTCATGAGAAATCATGACGTTGAGGGTCTGGGACTGATTTTTCATCTAGTGTCGTTTCGCGATGGACCCAGGGTTTTGAGGCGCCCCCCAGGGTGGCCCCCTTCTCCCCTTCTGCGCCTCTCTCTCTGCCTTGTGCCTCGCATCCTCGCACGGTGAGCCAATGAGATGGGGAACCACAGCGTAAGCCTGTTTCTCGTCAGCATCCGTCACGTCTTGGATCATCTGTGCGCCGTCGCGTGCTCCAGGCGCTACGACTGCTCCCCAGTGCTGCAGCCCGGTATGTGTTCAGTGAAAGCACTCGGGCCTGCAGCGGCTGCCGATGAAAAATGTTAAGTTTTCCACATAGGCAGCGCAGCAAAAACGGTGTCGTCTGCGCCGACATTGGCGCGTAAGCTGCCCGCGTAACCTCGTGCGTAAGCGCCCTCGTTTCCAATATAGCGTGCCGCGCCGGCGGCCCGCGTAAGCCACTGCGCAAGATCGCTGCATCATCTCGCGCCAGACCCGCTCTTGATCCTCGCTCACACGTGCTTGTGCACTTGATCTTGGCGGGCGGGGGGGGCGGAAGCACAGGCATCCGAAATATAACAAACTGCATCAACCTAAATTGTTCGGAGCTCCGCGCTAAGGATCCAAATGATTCTTTCTGATTCCTATGGATTCCGAAGGATTGCTAAGGATTCCTATGAATTCCTAGGGATTCCTAAGGATTCCAAGGGATTCCTAGGGATTCCAAGGGGATTCCTCAAGATTCCTAGGGATTCCTACGGATTGCCAGGGGTTCCCAGGTAGTGAAGTTCCTAGGAATTCTTACACATCGTCAGGATTCGCGGGGGGTCTGAAGGATTTCACTGGGATTTGTGCTGGACCCCCCCCCCCTGGAGGCGCCCCCCGGTGCCGGCCCTGGCGCGCGCTCCACGCGCCGGGGAGAGAGCGGGTCCAGCGCCGACGAGGACAGCTGCGCGGAGTTCCGAGAGGCTGTGCGTATGCAGTGCTCTGTGCCCCATGAGCATATATGAGCATCCCCTCCTCCCCCTTCCTCCCTCGAGGGCCTCTTCGAAGAGGCCTGGGAGGCAGCTGGGCCAGGGGTTGTCAGGAGGGAGGAAACACACACACAGACACAAATGAGCGTCGACTCCCCGGACAAACTGGGGAAATATGGGCAGTGGGGGGGAAGACGACCACCCAGAAAATATGGAAAATAGTTGGAATGCTGAGATTTGTGTGCATTTATTTGTGTGTCCCCGGGCCCCGTCAGGCTCCCCGCTGCCATGTCCCCCGAACCAGCGCTTTCCGAGAGGGCCCTGGTGGTCCCCCCCCTCTCCCCTCCTGGAGAGCGGCCCCTCTCCCCGCCCCCAGCCCCGCCCCCCGTGCCTCCTCCCCTCTCGGAGCGCGCCCCTCTCCCCCCCGATCCCCCGCGGGGCGGGCCGCGCCTCTCCCCCCGATCCCCTCCTGGACAGCGGCCCCTCTCCCCTCCCCCAGCCCCGCCCCCCGTGCCTGCTCCCCTCTCGGAGGACGCCCCCCTCTCCTCCCTCCCCCGCCCCCCGCGGGGCGGGCCGCCGGGGCCCGTGGCCTGGCCTGGGGGCCCCGCTGCCCAGGTCGACGGGTTCATGGGCGGGGGCCGGGCCGCCAAGGGCGGAGGCGCGCGCCCGCCTGGGGGGAAGCTCCTGCGGCAGCTTCGGCTGCACGCCTCCTCTTCCTCCTCCTCCTCGTCCTCCTCCTCCTCCTCCTCCTCCTCCTCCTCCTCGTCCTCCTCCTCCTCCTCCTCCTCCTCCTCTTCCTCCTCCTCCCTCTCCTCCTCCTCCTCCTCTCCTCCTCCTCCTCCCCTCCTCTCTCCCCCTCCTCCCCCCCTCCTCCTCCTCCTCCTCCTCCTCCTCCTCCTCCTCCTCCTCCTCCTCCTCCTCCTCCTCCCTCCTCCCCCTCCTCCCCCTCCTCATCCCCTCCTCCCCCTCCTCCTCCTCCTCCTCCTCCTCCTCCTCCCCCTCCTCCCCCTCCTCCGATCGAGATCGGTCCCCGGACGTCCCCCGGGGCTGGTCTTCCGGGTCGCGCAGACCGCCGTGGCGGCGAGCGGCGACAACCGCTGGGGGCACGCGGGCTCAGGGCAGCTCCGGGCAGCGCTGGGTTCCGGGCACGCGGGCTCAGTACTTTCTCGGCCTCCGGCCGAGGGCGGCGAGGCATCGTGAAGCCTGCCAGCCACATCATCCTCTACTGGGGGCTGCTTGACGAGGTGACCGGGTTGAATCGGGCGTGTCCCCCTACAGGGGGAGTGTTCAAAGATAGTACACAGATAATTTGGAGAGATTTGTTGTTCCATGTTGTTTGAATATGTTTGAGTTTTTTGTAGTGTATTTCAGGTTGTTCGTCCCAAATCCGCCTGCAGGAGGACAGGCCCGGCTTAAGAGTAGGGGGAGGGGGGAAGGTTTCTTAGAAACACCCCCCTTCTTAGAAGGCGCGGGCGCCCCTCCTAAGAAGCTTGCGGCTGCTTCTCAGAAGCTGTTCCAGGCGGGCTTCAAAGAGGCGGGCTGCTTCTGTTTTTCTGAGAAGCAGCTCCGTGCTTCTGAGAAGCTGCTGGGATGCTTCTAAGAGCTACCGGCGCCTTCTAAGAGACAGCCGCCTTCTGAGAAACCTTCCCCCCTCCCCCGACCCCCTTGCGCGCGCCGGCAGCATATCGGCTGCGAGCGAGGGGGGGCAGTGAGAAGGAGAAGGGCCTTCTCAGAAGGCAGGGAGGCTTTTCAGAAGGCCTCCTGCCTCCGGAGGGGTTTCCGGTGTCTGCGGAGGAGGCCCAGAAAACTCCCGAGAAGCCTGTCGGAGGGAGGAGAAGCGATACCAACACCACCAGGGGGCCCACCTCCAGCGAGGAGGTCCACGATGCCTCCCCGAGCTGGATGCCGGGGATGTCTCGAACGAGAGGGGGGGAGCCACACCACCAGGGAGACGCCCCATTGCCTCCGCGCACCTCCTCGCCCTGCTAGTGTTGGTGTTGCTTTTCCTTGCTCCCAGCCTGGGCCACTTCCGAGCCTCCCGGAGGACGGCCAGCTCCTGCTCACCTCTCCCCTGGGCGCGCCGCCGAGAGATGCTCCAGAGGCGAGTTCGCAGCCAGGCCCAGGCAGGCTCAGGGCAAGAGGTTTGACAAGTTGTGCAGGAGCCGAGTTCCGGGCATATATACGTAGCACCCCGCAATTGCGGATAAGAGTGAGGGGGCGGGCGCGGGCGACGCGGGCGTCGTCGAACCGGCGGACCTCGTGGCCCCCACCTTCCCTGTCGATGGCGCTCTCCTCCTCCTCCTCCTCCTCCTCCTCCTCCTCCTCCTCCTCCTCCTCCTCCTCTTCCTCCTCCTCCTCCTCCTCCTCCTCGTCCTCGTCCTCGTCCTCATCGTCATCGTCATCCTCCTCCTCCACCTCGTCCTCCTCCTCTTCTTCCTCGTCCTCCCTCTCCCCCCCTCTTTCTTCCATCATCGTTCTCACATTGTCGTCCACCCCCTCATCGGCCTCCATCATCGTCCTCCCATTGTCGTCCATCATCATCCTCCTCCCCCTCCTCCCCCACTCCTCTCCTCCCCTCCTCCCCTCCTCGTCCTCCTGCTCCTCTCCTCCTCCTCCCTCCTCCTCCTCCTCCTCCTCCTCCTCCTCGTTCTCCACATTATCCTTACATCCTCTCTTCTTCCGCGTCCTTCTCGTTCCATGTTTCCTCCTCTTGCCTCCCCCTCCTTTCCCAAGATAACGGCAACGAAATAGTTGTTTCCACTTTATGCTCCCTGACTTCTCTGATCAAGGCAACCCGCCAGGGCAAAGTTACTGCACGGGTTGGTGTGGATGCGCGGGGCTTGAAGGGGTCGTTGCGGGCTCGGACGGCATTCAAAAATCCACCGCCGCGCTTGTGCGGCATTGGTTTGTTCAGTGAACGTGGTTTGGGTCGCGGGTGGGTCGCGGGCTCTCCACCTTTACCTGGAGGAATGTAAAAGCAGCCCGCCGCAGGCAACGAAAAAATTGGTTTGTACACTGAGCGTGGTTTGGGTCGCGGGTGGGCCGCGGGTTCTCCACCAGGAACGAATGCAAAAGATGCCCGCCGCAGGCGCTTAAACATTTGGTTTGGACCCTAAACGTGGTCGCGGGTCGGCCGCGGGTTCTCCACCTGAAACGGATGCAAAAGATGCCCGCCGCAGGCGCCGAAAAATGCACTTTGCACCCTGAGCGTTGTTTGGGTCGCGGGTTGGTAGCGAGTTGGTCGCGGGGTGGGTCTCGGGCTCTCCACCGGAAAGGAATACCCAAAAAACCCGCCGCAGGCGCCGAAAATGGTGGTTTGTACCGTCGCGGGTGGGCCGCGGGCGGGTCGCGGAGTGGGTCGCGGGTCGCGGGTGGGTCGCGGGTGGGTCGCGAGTGGGTCGCGGGGTTGGTCGTGGGGTGGGTCGCGGGGTGGGTCGCGGGTGGGTTGCGGGTGGGTCGCGGGGTGGGTCGCGGGGTGTGTCGCGGGGTGGGTCGCGTGGTTGGTCGCGGGTGGGTTGCGGGTGGGTCGCGGGGTGGTCGCGGGGTGGGTCGCGGGGTGGGTCGCGGGTGGGTCGCGGGGCGGGTTGCGCGCGAGACGACGGCAACAGACAACAACAACAAACAACAACAACAACAACGACAACAACAACAACAACAAAAATCCGCACCGCGGAGTCCCAGTTCAGCCACGCACCCAGGGACAGTGAATGACCGTTCGGCCCCCTCATTCTGATAATCATATACATATATAGCCATGACCCCGCGGGATCGTGACCAACGCAGTCGCTGCAGCAGCTGCAGCAGCCAGCGATTGCTTCTGCAGTGCATCCTTCCAGTACGTGCTAAACCGTGCACTTTGCAATCTCACGCCATGAGTTGCCGCGCGAATGAAACATTACCGTGCGAAGACAAATGTAGCCAGGACCCCAGGTAAGGGGAGCCGGTTTGTGATGAGGTCCCGAAGCCCCCAAATGGACCAGGATCACTAAACCAGGCTTGCCGTAGCTCGTGTTTCTTCGACTGACGGTTGCTCCGGTTAGGGACCCGTGCACATCTAAACCAGGCTTGGCGAAACCCTGTCCAGCCGACGCACGATATTTCGCATTCAAAAGCTTCAGGGGATGGGGGGGGACCAGGCGAGCTGAAGGCAGCGTTGGGGGGGGCTCAGGTTTGACGGTTTCTCCAGGAACAACAGAGAACCATAGCCATAATTGCAGGGATTTTTCGGGAGGGCCCCTGCGGGGAGAACTCACCGACCTCGACGTGAGCACTTTGGTTGTGGTTGTGGTCGACGTGGCCGTCCTGAGACGCCACATCGACGAGTTGTTCAGGAGCCGAATTCGCAATCACAAACATTAGGTTGGTGCTCCAGACGGGACACAAACCGGCGCACAACGTTGGGGTGCGTGGCTGCGAGGGCGACGGCACAGAAACAAAATAAAGAGCAGCATCACCTCCATTCATGTCTGCATGACTTTCGTGTCGTAGTGCGAACATGTTTCTCATCACAGATGGGGGGGGAGGTTTGAGGGTTTCGGCCCGAAACCCTCAAACCTCCCCCCCCTCCGGGTGTGTTCCGCGGTTCGCGGCGGTTTTCTTTGGGATGCTTCCCAGCGGCTGCGCTTCGCCCAGAGCGTCCCGGGGATGCCCAGATCGTCCCGATCTGCCGCCATAAGGGCCACCTTGGAGCCACCTTGGGGCTCGCAAGGGTTTCCTCGAGGCTGTCGTGGGCCGTCAGCTGGCGCTCGTGAGCTTCTGAGGGTCTCTTGGCGGCGTCTTGGAGGCGGATTGAGAAAGGGTATCGACGAGCTGAGAGCTGAGCTGGTCTCTTGGCGGTCTCTTGGCGGTCTGAGGGTCTCTTGGCGGTCTCTTGGCGGCGTCTTGTCTTGGGCCCAGGAGGGTATCGAAGAGCTGTGCTGGTGCTGGTGGAGCTGCCCCGATCGTGCGAGCTCATTACCCGAGAGCCAAGATCAGGGGCAGCCTTCGGGACGGCGGGCTCAGACCCAGACCCCCGACGTAATGTTTTTTTCGCTACGTCGACCCCCAGAGGTCCCGACCCTTTCCCCATGACCGGCTTTGCATCCTGAGTCGTTTTGTTGACGCTCCCGAGGCCCGGTGAGGGGCCCCGGAGGCCGAAAATTTGGAAAAGCCTCCCGTCGTGATTTTTTCATTCCTCGAGGGGGTCTGGGGAGGGGGATGCGTCGACCCCCACTCGCCCATTCATCGCCAACATTGGGGCCAGGTAGCCCACCCCGAAGGGGCGTGCGGATGTCCTGCTCGGGGACCCTCTCCGATCTGCCGGCGGCGCGGCGCCCATTCCAGGGCGATGGTTTCCCCACCCTGAGCTGGCCCCCCACCCCGAGCGTTGCCCCCCTCACACCGGTTTGGCCTGCGGCGGGGTGGGCCCAACGAGCGGTCCAGCAGGAGGCGGGGCGCACCTGCCGCGAAGCGGGGCGCAGGGGCGCAGGCGGGCGAGGGGCGAACGGAAGACCGGCCGCGGGACGGCCAGGGAACCCTTAGGCCTGCGTAGACCTTGAGGCAAGCGGTGGCGAAGCGTCCTGGCGCGCCTGTAGGCCTACCAGGCAGTGTCCTAAGAGCCTCTTGTGGTCTCCGCGACATGGTCTCAGAGCATGTCTGGCTGGGACTGGCTCGTTCTAACATGATCGGGCTCATGATCTAAGGACGTTGCGCTTGTTCTGAGAGCTTATCTGGGGTTCTAAGAACATGCCGTGGTAGGTCTAGCCTATAGGAATGCCGGGACGGTCGGTCCCTGCTCAATTCAGTGTGTGCCTGGGCTTGCCCCTCGCACGCGCGGGCCACGCCCCCGCCAAGCCGGAGGGGAGGCGGAGCTCGGAGGAGGGAGAAGTGACACCACCACCACGGGGGCCTTCCGCGAGGAGAGGTCCACGAGTCCTCCCCGAGAGCTGGGGAGATGTGCTGGGGATGCCTCGAGCGACGGGGGCGGACCGCACCACCAGGGGGAGCCCCCCCCCCCGCGGCTCCTCCCGCTGGCGGTCCCTGGCAGTGCTGGTGCTGCGTCTTCCCTTGTCCCTGGGGAGCGGCACCCAGGCCCCCCTCGAGTAATGAGGAAGTCATGACGGAAGGGTTCTCTAAATTTTCGTCCTCCGGGGGCCCTCACGGGGCCTCGGGGGCGTCAAAAAACGACTCAGGAAGCAAAGCCGGTCATGGGGGGAAGGGTCGGGACCTCTGGGGGTCGACGTGATGAAAGCATCATTACGTCCCTGGTTTGGGCACCCCGCATCACGACGACCAGCGGGCCCCCCCCCGGCGAGGAAGGCCCGCGATGCCCCCCCTCCTCCGCGCCAGAGACTGGCACTGTCTCGAGGGAGGCGCGCCGGCACGACCCCTTCTGTCTGGCGTCTCGCGACGGTCGCTGCGGTGCCGGTGGAGGAGGAGGAGGAGGAGGAGGAGGAGGAGGAGGAGGAGGAGGAGGAGAAGGGGGAGGAGGAGCTGGAGGAGCTGGAGGAGGGAGGAGGAGGAGGAGGAGGAGGAGGAGGAGGAGGAGGAGGGGAGGAGGAGGAGGAAGAGGGGGAAGAGGGGGAAGAGGAGGAGCAGGAGAGGAGGAGGAGGAGGAGGAGAGGAAGAAGAAGAAGAGAATAATAATAAGAAGAAGAAGAAGAGAGAAGAAAAAGAAGAAGAAGAGGAGGAGGAGGAGGAGGAGGGGGAGGGGGAGGAGGAGGAGGAGGAAGGGGAGGAGGAGGAGGAGGAGGAGGAGGAGGAGGAGGGAGGAGGGAGGGGGAGGAGAGGAGGGAGGGAAGAGGAGGAGGAGGAGGAGGAGGAGGAGGAGGAGGAGGAGGAGGAGGGGCACCCGCGGGCCCCCAGGGGAGGAGGCCGCTGTGGGCGAGCGTCGTGTCGGCCCGCTCGCTCCAAGGCATCACCTCGAACCCGCCCCTCGCCCAGACGCCCACGCAACGCATCATCGCGGCATGCCTGGGAATGGCCGTGTCTAGGCATGCCAGCTGAGGCTGCGCCCCCCTCTTCCTCCCCCAGCTCTGATTAATTCAAGCTTCGCGCGGCCCGCTTAGCTTCGCCCGGAGGAGGTGTGCTCTCGACCCGCGAATCAAACAAGTGTCTAGGCATGCCACTTGTTGAGGCCTGGGCATCTACATTCCCAGACCCCCGACGCCATGATTTTGTCGTTGCGTCGACTCCCACAGGCCCACAGGTCTCGACCCATGCCCCAGGCCCGGCTTCTCATCCAGAGTGGCTTCTTGACGGCCCCGAAGCCCGGCAAGGGCCCCCCAAAGCCGATGATAACGAAAAAACTTCCGTCATGACTTTTCATGACCCGAGGGGGTCTGGAACTTTGTGGGCCCCGGAAACGGCAGGGCCGTTTTTCACCCTTTCCAACAAAAATGTCCCTTGAAAATGGAAACGGGAAAAAAACGGCGACCGGAAACGGCGACAAAAACGGCTCCAGGATTGGAACCGGAGCCGGAACCGGTCAAAAAACGGCGACGGAACCGGTAAAACAGCGGCGCCGGAACCGGCAAGAAAACGGCAGAACGGAACCGGTAAAAAAACGGCCCTGTCGTTTGCAGGGCCCACGAAGGTCTTGGTTCGTGAGCCTCCGCGTGTGTCCAGGGCTGCGTCCGTGGACGTGGCTGCACGCAGCTGGGCGTAGGCAGTGCCCAGGCATCGGCCGGGCGGTGTGCAGGGCAAGCACCGGTGGATCAAGGCACCAGAGCCAGTGGGCCGTGCCAAGGCAAGCACAGCGTTTTGATCGCAAGGGCTTTTGTCATGGAGGGCAGATGCAGTCAACACGCTGGATGAAGAGCAGTTCGGTTTTGGAGGAGGAGGAGGAGGAGGAGGAGGAGCTGGAGGAGGAGGAGGAGGAGGGGCCCAGACATCCCTTTTGCGTTCGTGGACGTAGCTGGGCGTAGCTGGGCGTTGCAGTGCCTCGGCATCGGCCAGGCGGTGTGCTGGGTAGGCATCGGTGGATCAGGGTACCCTCGCCAGTGGTCCGTGCCGAGGCAAGCATAGCTTACTGATCGCAAGGGCTCTTGTCATGGAGGAGGAGGTGGAGGAGGAGGAGGAGGAGGAGCCAGTGGGCCGTGTCAAGGCTTATGCTGTTCCAACCTTCCTTAAGCTTTGAAAACCAGAAAGGATTCCGACCACTCACAGAGTACATACACTGGTGGGTTTTTACGTCTCGGGCCCTGGGAGGCGATACTCTCTCGACACTGTTTCGATACTTGTCTGGGTGCTCTCAATTCTTTCTGGGATGTGGTCCTTCAGTACGATGGGAGCAACATAAGCCAAGGCAAGCATAGCTTGCTGATTGCAAGAGCTTTTGTCATTGAGGGCAGATACGGTCAACACGCTGAATGCAGAGCAGCTCGGTCTTGGAGGGGCTCGCCGTTCCTAGGCTCCTTCCATGGTTGTTTCTCTAGCGCCTCTCGTGCGCCCAGGCGTTGTTGGGGCCAAACGGGGCTCCGATTCTTCAAAAGCGATCCTGGTGGTAGTGGCTTGACTGTATATCGCTGATGGCAGACTTGTCGAAGGCGCCTCCAGCGAGTCACCGCCGCCCCCTGCCTTTTGGAGACGCCTGTGCGGTGAAATATCGGCCGAAAGTCCAGCCATGCTAGTGGACTGCGCGTTTCCCCAGTCGTTGGTGAACAAATTGTGGAAATGGCCCTCTAAGGCCGTCTCGAGGCTGGTTTGGCATTGGCCTTGGCTAGGCCGTCCAACCTGTATTGGGATACGAATCCGGCGCCGTCTGGGTGCAACATGTGAGCGCTGTCCGGAATTCCAATCCTTTCCCACCATGTCAGTAGGATGTAGTTCTTGGGATATATTCATATATATATACGTTCAGCATCGACACATACGTCCGTGATCAAAACCGGCCTAATGTGGCATAGTCCCGATGCATTCTTCCTATTCCCGATTTGTCTGGTCTTGTCCAGCGTAATCCTAGGTTTGATTTTGGCGAATTTGGCATTATGGCGCCGTGAAATCAGCTTGTGATTAATAAATGATGACCCCCCCCCGCCCGGGGCTGACGAAAAGGCGCCGCGAGGTGCAAACCTTTTTTACAATCACGCGCGCTAGGGGTCGTCGCTGGCGCCGCCGACGGGATCGCGTATCCCCCTGCACGGCAGCCTCAGAACGATTATCTTTCGTATACAAGTTATGGTAGGAATTGTATACAACCGAGGCGACGTTTCCCCCCTCATTTCGTTGTCGCCGCCGCCGCCGCAGCCGTCGTCGTCGTCGTCGTCGTCGTCGGTTGTCCTCCGTCGTCGTCGTCGTTGTTGTCCTTCGTCGTCGCCGTCGTGGTCGACGTCGACGTTGTCGTCGTCGTCGACGTCGAAGTCGAAGTCGAAGTCTTCGTCGCCTCGCAATCCGAGAAATCCGCGCGGACCTCAGAGTTTTTATGTTTGTGTCCCTTTCTGTTCCCCTGCGTGTGCTCTGCCGGCCGGCTGCCGCGCTTCTTCGTCCCACCAGGCCACCCCGACCCAAACCCGAAGGCCTCATTTTGCCCTCCATTTCCAGTGGGCGGGGGTCCGGGAACATCGAAAAAACACATATGCATATGTGTTTTTTCGGGTTGGGTTAGGGGTGGTCTGGTAGGTAGTCAGCTGCTCCGCCCCGGCCCCAGGCGCGGGCTCCAGCTCCAGGGCAAGCCAGGGCCGCTCCTCCAAGGCGCCTGCTTCGGAGGAGGACGGCCGCCCGCGCCCGCCCGCGCGCCCGCGCGGGGCGGGCGCAGCCTCGGTCCGTCGAGGGGCGAGGCGAACAGGGCGTTGCGGCGACCAGCTTTTCGCTGTTCCATGCTCGAGCTTTCTCCGGAGGGAAAAAAACAAACAGACACGCAATTTCGTCGATTCCCCCGAAAATAGGGAAAATATGGGAAGCGGGGGGGGGGGACGACAGAAGCCCAGAAAAAAATATGAAAATATGGGGAATCTGGTTATTTGTGTATATTTATTTGTGTGTCCCAGTTCTCCTTCACTTTCGCGACGCCTGGCTGCCCGTCAACAGCCTGAGGACAAGTGCTGCGGCCGCACGTTGCGCCACGCGTCGTCAAACCCGTGAGCCTCCGCATTCTCAGAGGAGGAAAAGGTCGCTACCTTCGCTGTTTGTTCGTCGCCACCGCTGGATTCGCTTCAAAATCCTGGTCAGAACACCCCGGAGGAGGTGTGGGGAGCAGTGGTATTGGTACCTTTTGGTGCCCCCTTTTCTTCCATCTCTGTTTTCTCCGCCTCTCCTCCGTCTCAGCGGGGCAACGTCCTGACGAAGGCCACGGTGCTCCAGTACGCTTTTGCGACTGCGTGCCCCAAGTTGCCCTCGACCCGTGCAACTGTGCAGTGCTTCTAGGCCCCAGCCCGTCAAACGCGGTTGCTCTTGACGTCGAGTAAGGGGGTCGAGAAGAGGATTTTTGTTTGGCTTGTTGTGTTACTTTTCTAGTCTGTCCACCAATCTGCATGACGGACCGCCCATCCGCTCTTTTTGCGTGGGGCCTGAGGGCCAAACCTAGGCTGAGGTCAGCGACGGGGCCTCCCACTTAATCAAGGCGGACCAGCTTGAACTGGGCGAGTGCCCGCCGTAAGATCCATTGTGCCGCAGGAAATCGGCTTGTCAGAAGGTGCTATACGGACATGTCTTATCACCCGATTGGGTCAGGGACCCAGTCTTTCTGCTAGCAAGAGTCCGAATTGTATGTGTCTACTTCGGCGGCGAGCCCGGAGGAAAGTGAGAAGGGGCGAGCCTTCTCAGAAGCCTCCGAAGTCTACCCGCACTCTGAGTAGTTTTCGAAGCTTTCCTAGAAGACACAGAGAAGCTTCCAGAAGGCGCGAGGCCTTCTGAGGAATCCCGCCGCCTTCTGAGCAGGCCTTCTCCTTTCACTTCCACCATCGCTTGCCACCGTGTTGAAGGTTGAACGATCCACGAGGTGTCCGGGAAAGAAGCGGGGGTCGCCACGGCACAATCCTGCCGTATAACCGTTTGGCTGTGTGCCCCGCGAGCTCCAGGAGGAAAGCCTGCTTTAGGGGGTCCTGAGGTGCCTCAGAGAGCTTCTGTCAGGAGGGAAAAAAAGACACAGACACAATTAATCGGCGGTCCCCAGGAAAATATAAGAAAATATGGGAAGTGGTGGGGAAGACGAACATCAAGAAAATGTGAAAAAATATGGGGAACCGTTTTATTTGTGTGTATTTATTCGTGTGTCCCAGGGCCCCTTCATTCTGTGGGTCCCTGGGTTAATCAGGGGGCAAGAACTCTGCGGGGTGCCTGCTGGCAGGCAGATCTTTTTCTGATGTGCCTGCTGCAGTCTCGCGCAATCGCCTGCAGTAAAGTAAAATCGTACGGCGGCCATTCGCCGTCGTCGTCGTTGTCTTCAGCGTCCTCGTCGGCGTCGGCGTCGGCGTCCTCGTCGTCGTCGGCGTAGTCGTCGGCGTCGTCAGCGTCGTCGGCGTCGTCGCCGTCGTCGTCGTCGTCGTCGTCGTCTTCCTAGTCCTGGTTGTCGTTGTCGTCATCGTCCTGGTCGTCGTCCTCGTCCCGCCCAAGCTAGTCCACTTTGCTTTGGCGGGACGCCCTGTCGCTGGCCTCAGCCCAGGCTACGCCCAGGTTTGTGGCCCTCAGGTCCAAGTCAGAACTGGTGCGGACTGGCGCCCTGCCAGGCACACTGACGGCAGACCACTCATGGGTCACGCAGTTGCAGCAGCGCAGGAGGACCCTTCTGGCGCTGGCAGCGAAAACAGAACGACGGCAGACGAAGAGAGGGGAGGAGGGGATGCATTGTGGGAACACGTGGCTCGCGCTTTCCTGCAATTCGCTGAGTCGTTCTCGTTCGATACGTTTGCATATTGAAAGGTAGGAAAGTGTGGATCGTGATTTCCTACAAGTTGCTTCCCAGCATCACTGTTAGGCAACATCGCCGTTTGCGTGGCCTTTGCAATTGTGGCCCACCCCGAGCTCAACCTCGGCCGAGCCCAGCCGGGCCTCGCGGGCCCCATTGGCCAGGACCCGCTGGCGACCCTCTGCGTCGGGCCCAGATCCCCGACGACACGACTTCTTCAGCACGTCGATCCCCAGAGTTCTCGACTCGAGCAGTGGCGAAGCGTCCTGGCCCGCCTATAGGCCCACCAAATAATGTTCTAAGGACCTTGTGTGGTCTGCACGAAATGCTCTTAGAACATGTTTGGCTGAGACTGTTTCGTTTTAACACATCGGGGTTATATTCTAATAGCATTGATTTTGTTATTGGAATCGTGGTGGGCCTACAGGAATGCCGGGACGGCTTTCCTGACCGGACCCTGCGGCTCAATGGACCCATTCGCCAGGACCGGTTTCTCATCCTGCGCCGTTTCTTGACGGTCCCGGGGCTTGGTGAGGTCCCCGGGAGGCCGACAAAAATAGCGAAAAACTTCCCGCGGCGTGGTTTTGCTCATAGCGCGCGGGGGTCTGGGGCTGGCGACCCCATGCGTCGGGCCCCGCCGAGGCGGCCTCCGCGGGCCCGGGCCCGCGCCTCGCGGAAGGCCAGCCCGCGCATGGCGACCCCCCGCGCGGGCGCGAGCGCCCGAGCTGGGCCCTGCGCAGCGCCTGGTGATCGTTTCTTGAATCACTGTTTTGCCGATCGCCGCCGGCCCTCGCACCCCCCCCTGACCTTCCAGAGAGCTATGTTTTAGCACTGGAGGCCTAAAAACCTGAAACACGGAACGAAACAGCCTAAAACCAAGACGTAGAATAGCTCTGGGATAGGTTTTCGGGTCGGGTGCTATTTTTTAGCCCTCTTGGAAGGTCAGGGTCCCCAAGCACGAAGCATCCGGGCCCTGCGCAGCGCCCGGTGATCGTTTCCTGAATCACTGTTTTGCCGATCGGCGCGGGCCCTCGCACCCCCCCCCCTCCCCCCCCCTATGGAGCAGATCTTCTCGCGGAAGGCCAGCCCGCGCATGGCGACCCCCCGCGCCGGCGCGAGCGCACGAGCTGGCCCCCCCGTCCCCAAGCACGAAGCATCCTGGCCCTGCGCAGCGCCTGGTGATCGTTTCCTGATTCACTGTTTTGCCGATCGGCGCGGGCCCTCGCCCCCCCCCCCCTGACCTTCCAGAGAGCTATGTTTTAGCACTGGAGGCCTAAAAACCTAAAACACTGAACGAAGCAGCCTAAAACCAAGACGTAGAATAGCTCTGGGATAGGTTTTTAGGTCGGGTGCTATGTTTAGCCCTCCTGGAAGGTCAGGGCCCTCCCCCCCCATGGAGCCGATCTTGGCTGTTTTTGGCGCCCGTTTCAGGCAGGTGGAGCCTCCTCCGAAGCACGCGCTGCCGCAGACGGTCGCATCAAGCAGAGAGGTCGGGAGCCAGACCCCCCCCTCCCCCCCCCTTCTTCCCAATGTCGAAGCGCCGAGTAAAATAACGCTCACCTGGCGTAGCGCCTGCAGGGGCAGCTCCCTGGACCCCCTGGGGGGGGTTCATAAACATCCGCGCAGGCCGTCGAAAGTTTTGACCCCCTCGGGTCATCAACTTGCGACAGTCTGCGCGGAGCGCCAAACATTCATGTCAATGCCGTTTTTTCTTTCTTGAAACATCGCCGAGCGGACTTCGTTGCTCTAGACCTCCCAGATAGGGTCGGAGTAGATGGGGTCGGAGGATCGCGCCGCATCGCCGATGCATCGCCGATGCGACTCGATGTGAAGCCCGATTTGCTTCACGTTGTCGTCGGCGATGCCTCGCCGACGTCGACGACGCGTTGCTGGTGCATCCCCGACGCATCGCCGATGCATTGCAGATGCATCGGCGATGCATCGGCGATGCGGCGCGATCCTCCGACCCCAGCTACTCCGACTCCATCTAGGAGGCCTCAATTCATGGCGCCAACATTTCAGAGTGGATTTCGGAAAACACTTGGACGGGCCCAGGGTGTCCTGGAGAAATGCGTTCCGGCTTTCGAGGTTGATGTTGTGCGGATTTATTCAATTTGGCCAGGGATGGAGACTGCAAAACATCCACGTGAAATTCGTTTCGTTTTTCGCTCGCCGTTTCGGGGTGTTGCACCGACAGACGCGCAAATCCGCTATAGCACGTCGGCACGATCGGTGCAGTGATCAAGTCCCCGCCCTCCCCCTCGGGGGCTTGGAACTCGAGCCAACGTGGCTCGAGCCTCGAGCCATCATGGCTTGAGCCAACGTGGCTACGGAGACCCGCGCTGAGAAGTAGCACGACGAGCCCAGCGTGCAGCACGTGAGGCAAGTGGGGCGCCTCCTCCTACTCCTCCTCCTCCTCCTCCTCCTCCTCCTCCTCCTCCTCCTCCTCCTCCTCCTCCTCCTCCTCCTCCTCCTCCTCCTCCTCCTCCTCCTCCTGCCTGCTGCACCTGTCTGGCTGCGTGCCCAGAGCCCCAGGAGGCGCAGGAGCACAGGTTCCACGAGGCGAGCTGCACCATCGAGGCGTCAGGCGACGCCCTTTCGCGTCGGGCCCTCCCCTTCTCCGCCCCCTGTCCCGCAAGGCCCCCTCGCGCGGTGAGGAAGTCACGACGGGACGGGAGGTTTTTCGTTACCTTCGGCCTCCGGGGGGCCCTCGCCGGGCCTCGGGGCCGTCAAAGAACGACTCGGGAGGTGAAGCTGGTACCGGGGAAGTGGTCCAGACCTCTGTCGGCGGCGCGCGCAAGGGGGTGGAGGGAAGGGGGGGGCTTCTTAGAAGGAGGCTGCTTCTCATAAGGCGCTGGCCTTACACACTCTCTCTCTCTCTCTCTCTCTCTCTATATATATATATGTATAGAGATAAGGCCCGCGCCTTCTAAGAAGCAGGGGTGTTTCTAAGAAGCCCTCCCCCCTCCAGCCAGCCCCCTCTGCGCGTGGCTGGCTTTTTGGGGTCGGCGTGATGATAACATATCCATGACGTCGGGGGCCTGGGTCGGGGTCTGTCGTGGCGTGCCCCCCTCCCTCTTCAGGGGCAACGCCAGGAGGAGGAGGAGGAGGAGGAAGGAGGAGGAGAAGGTGGAGGAGGAGGAGGAGGAGGAGGAGGAGGAGGAAGGAGGAGGAGGATGAAGGAGGAGGAGGAGGAGGAGGAGGAGGAGGAGGAGGGGGAGGATGGTCAGGCTCCGGGGCAACGACCGGGGGGACGACCTCTCGGGCGTGGAGTGTTTTTTTCTGCTGTGGGCGTCTCCGTCGGCTCTCCCGGGCTGCTCCAGCCTCGGGAGAGGTCTGCCGGCGGCTGCGCCTCGCCGAGGGCGTCTCCGGGGATGCCCGGGTCGTCCCGAGCGGCCGCCAGGGCTCCGAGCCATGGCCCGAAGAGCTCGGCGGCGGGCTTCCAAGGGAGGGGGGGGCCTCGCCGGGCACCCAGACCGGCCAGGAGCTGGCTCGGGGGCGGGAGGCCGGGGGAGGGGAAGGCGCCCCGACCTCTGGGAGCCCACGTTTTGAAGGCATCGCCCCGTCGGGGATGCATGGGGGGGAGGATGGCCAGGAGGAGGGAGAACAAAATGGAGAGGAGGAGGAGGAGGAGGAGGAGGAGGAAGGACGTACTTTTCGGGGGTGGGGGTGGGGGAGGGATGGGGGGTTCTACAATCGATTCTTGAGAGGTTCTGTGCAGCGCTGCTCCAGGAGGCTCTGAGGAGTTCTGGGAGGAGGAGGAGGAGGAGGAGGAGGAGGAGGAGGAGGAGGAGGAGGAGGAGGATGGGCAGGAGGAAGGGGGAGGAGGAGGAGGAGGAGGAGGAGGAGGAGCAGGAGGAGGAGGGGGGAGGTTTGCTCCCGCTGGATTCCCTCCTCTGCAAGGCGCGGGGAGTAGACTCGTCGGTGCGCCTCAGGCTGTGGCGCAGGAGGAGGAGGAGGAGGGGGGATCAAGAGGGGCCGGGAGAGGGGGACCCCAGCGAGAGGCCGCCGACGGGGGGGGGGAGAGGGCGTGGGGGATGCCGGTAGGCAGCCCCCCGGCCCAGAGCCCGCGGCGCAGTGGTGGCCTGGGCGCGCCCCTGGCAGTGGGCTCACGCACCCAGGACCACGCACCCAAGGCAGGTGAGCTGTGCTCAAGCCTCATCCCCCTCTCTCCCTCCCTCCCCCCTCCACAATTACTCCATATGAATACTACTCTCCCTCTTCCCCTGATGACGGCTTGAAAGTGTTAGCCCCCCCCGTACTGTTTTTTACACGCTGGATTCCCCGGAGTTGGGTTTTCGCCTGCAATTTTTTCCAAAATGCTGCTCTCGCTGAGGCGCCGGCCTCATTTTCGGGCCCCGCTCGTTCCGAATCCTGCTCCGTGGTTCGGGGGTCGATGCCTTGGACGGTTTGGGCCGGGTGGTCTCGCTCGCGGAGCCAATGGCAATGCCCGCCCATGGAGGGGGGGGGCAAGGTGAAGGGAACCGATTACCTTGGACCACGGCGCATGAGGCGCCCGCTGCCTTAGACCACGACGACCCCTTTGCGTCGCCGCGAGTGGAGGCCAAACCAACCTCGGGGGGAGACCCCTCGGCCAGGAGCACCCTTATCCAGGGATGTGCAGAGGAGCGCGTCTATCCAGTTTGGGCATTCTTGTTGAAACACCAGAGGCCTCCGGGGAGGTACCCCTGGAGACCAGAGGCGTCCTCTGCTGTGAGCCTCCGTGGCGCGGGTACGGTATGATGGCATAGATCCGGCTGCCTACGGCAAGTCCCGCCACCGTGCCTGGGTTGTGGGTATGAAGCCCATTGGATGTTCGTTGGGATCTCGCGGGAAGCCTCTCGGGGGCCTCTTGGAGGCAGTTTTGAGGCCTCTAGGATGCCGATTGGGGGCCTCTTAGGGCCTCTTTTGAGCCTCTTGGGGGGCCTCCCGGGGCCTCTGGTGGCCGCTTGGGCGCCTGTTGGGGCCTCCTGGGTCCTGGAGGCCTCTGGGGACGCAGGGTCGGATTTTCGGTTCGTGTTCCCTCTCTTTGGCCCTTTTTGGGGCTGTCTTGGGACCTTCTTGGGCTGTCTTGGGCGCCTCTTGGCCCTTCTTGGGGCGTTCTTAGGCCGTCCTGGGGCCCTCTCAGAGGCCTCTCGAGCCGTTTTGGGATGGTCTATCGGGCCTTTCGGGCTGCCTTGGGGCCTCCTGGGCCGTCATGGAAGCTTTGGGGAGCACCAGGGAGGCGCCATGGGCGCCCGGAGACCCCCCCTAATAGGGGCGATGCAGTCAGGGAAGCGTGACCGTGGGAGTGGCAGGCTCCCTTAGAAGACTACAGAAGCCCTGCCCAGCAGGCCTTGGCATTCTTCCACGCCTCAACGTGCCGCAGGCACGGTGGCGGATGACAGGAAGCGCTTCTGGCGTGGACCGTTTTTACGAATCAGGTTTCATTGTCTTTTACTGATGGCTCTGGGCTGCATTTGGGAACTCGCTGGCAGAGGTCTAAAGAATGGCCGTTTCGCCCGAGACTTCCCCAAAACAATTCGGCCCCAGAAGGGATTTCGAATCGACATCGTATTATAATCGCTCCCGAAGGATTTCGAACGGCCCAAAGGAGACCTAAAAGACGCCCCAGAAGGCCCCAAGATCGCCCAAGAGCGCCCCAAGAAGACCCCAAGCACTCAGACAGCGCACAAGAACCCCAAGACGGCCCAAGACGGGCCAAGAGGGCCCCGAGAGACTCCTGGGAGCGCCCCTATAGGAGCCCCCAACTGGCCCAAGGAAGCCCCAAGACGGCCCAAGATGGCGCCGAGACGGCCCAGGAAAGCTCCGCAAGAACCCCACGACGCGCCCAGACAGCCCAACAAGAGGACCCCAGAAGCCCACGCGAGGACCCAAGAGGCGCGGCGCCAGGACCCCCCAGGGTAGCCCGATAGGGTCACCAGGACCCTCTCCTGATTCAACATCCTTCTCCAATTGCCTCTTACTGTCCTCCGTCGTCGTCGTCGTCGTCGTCGTCGTCGTCGTCGTCGTCGTCGTCCTCTGCATTCCTCCTCGTACTCGCCCGCGTTCTTTTCGCCCTCGTCCTTGAACTTTTCTTCCTCCTCGTTGTCCTCATGCTCCTCCTCGCTATCCCCACGTTCTCCACGTCGTCCTCGTCATCGCCTCCTCGTCGCCCTCGCCCTCCTTCTCTGCTTCTTCTTCTTCGCCCACTGAGCCCATTAGACTAAAGCGGCGCTTCCCGTTCTTGTCCGATCAGGTTGGTAGATGCGTACCACTTCGTTCTTTTGATCTCCGCGCTGATGGATGTGACGATTGTCGGTGGCTGCTCCTTCTGAAGTATAGATGAGAGACTGTAAGTTCTGGTGTGTGGCGGGAGGGGGAGCAGGGTTGTCCACGATCCGATCGCTTCGATGCGTGCGGATTTGGTCATGCGTGCGGCATCGATCGACTCAGCCAAGCACTCCTATCCACGGCTTGATTTCGCAAGCAGTCTTGTACCATGCGTCATCGGAGACAGCCTCTAGACAGCCATGCCGGGTAGGGAGGCGAAGGACCCCCCCCGCCCCGAGACGTCGAGAGACACGTCGCGCCGTCAGTGTCACACGCGTGGCTAGACATCCTGGGCGTGTCGAAGGGGAGTCGCGTACACTCACTACTTTGGTGCGAGTGGTTTCTCGAGCTCCTGCCAGAGCGCTCCCGTGCGACGGCGTGCATGCAGCGGTCGAGTGTACGTAGACGGGGGGGGGGGCACCCCGAGGTGGGGCTGTGGATCGAGCCAGGCTTGAGGCTGATATCCCCCTTATCCGGGGCCCGTCCACGGCGATTTTCGTCCAGCCCCACCACCTACGGTTGCAGCTTCGGGGGACCACGCGGGCTCGGTGCGGACTCGACGCGGGCTCGATGCGGACTCCGACCCGGAATTGGCGTGGATTCGACGCGGTGTCGACATGGATTCGACACGGATCCGACACGGATCCGACGAGGCCGACATGGATTTGACACGGATTCGACGCGGACAGGGCCGCGACGGGACTCCCCCGAGGATGCAACAGAAGGTATCGGCGGCGGGAGAGGGGGGAAGGGAGAGGGAGGAGGCTTTCTCAGGAGGCGCCGGGGCTTCTCAGGAGGCCTCCGGCCTTGGAGAGGTGTCCTGTGTCTTCGGGGAAGTCCGGGAAACACTACCAGGGAGGCCGAGGGAATTCCGAGACTTCTGAGAAGGCCCGCCCCTTCTCACTTCGCCCCCAGGCTCGCCGCCGATCATGATATGCCGCTTCCCTCTCCTCTGTTGCCCCCACAGCCTTCTCTCAGTTCCCCCTCGTGTTCTCATCCTTCTCCTGCTCGTCCTCCCTCCTCCTCTCTCCCCTACCACCGTTCCCTCCTTAGCATCTCTGCTCCTCGTCCTCGTCGCTCCTCCTCCCGCTCCCCTCCTTCAACAATTCTCTCCTCCTTCGCCTCTGTTCTCCTCCTTCCTCCGTCCTCAGCCTCTTACTTCCATGTATGATTATTCGGCCATTCGACAGCAGGACCATCAAGTCCAACCCTCCTCATGCGCATCTCTCCTCCTTCGGTGACGCCTCGCCTCTTCGTCCTGTGTTCTCTTTTCCGTTCCTTCCCTCTTGTCTTCATCATTTCATTCGTTCCCGTGCTCCTATTCCGCATGCCTCCTCGACCTCCACCCCTCTCCCTCCTTCTGCCTCTCCGCTTGAAGACCGCTCGCCATGACCTGCCCCCCCCAGCGATCTCATCAATGCCTGGCGTACAGCGAGAATCTACGCCTGCCGGGTCGACTGCGTCCACACGGATACCTACCGGGTGCTCGGCGGTCTCAGCGCAGGCATCGAGGAACCGCGACTTTTGGAGTGCCACCCTCGTGCTGCTTCCCAGCTCATGGCTTAGGACTGATTGCGCTATAGACCAGCGGTGCGCCAAGGGGGGGAAGGCAGAGGAGACTTGCCTCCTCGCAAGGCTCAGACGGCAAGCCCGGCCGCCTTCCGAGAGGGCTGGGCGCCCTCTCGCTTCCCCCAGTCGGCGCGCGGCGGACCTTGTCAGCTTATGGCTCATGGCGGATGGGGCCATCAATGACGAGCGAACAGCCTTGGCATCGCTCGGACGTGTGCATGTTTCCTTCGGCGAGGACCATCGAGGAGCATCCTTGATCAGTTGGCGAAGAAACCACGCACGAAACCGAACAGAAACACAGGGAATGGACGTCCGAGCGATGCCCAGCAGCACACACACACAGACACACCACACACACACACACACACATACCCATACGGGGGGACGGAGGAGGCCGTGGGCGCGTGTTGTCGGAGGGGAGGGGGGGGGGTCCCCGCTCGAACGCGTGGCCCGACGACCCGCGCCAATGCCCGCAGCCGTTGCTCCTCCCGCCGCTGGCCCTGTGGGTGCGGTCGGGCCGAGGTGGAGAGAGCGAGCTGGTTCGATGCTCGTTTTGGGGACCTTCCTGGGGGCCACCTAATGGATCTGTTCGACTCAGGTTCGACTCAGGTTCGACTCAGATTCGACTCAGGTTCGACTCATGTTCGACTCAGGTTCGACTCAGGTTCGACGCAGCTTCGACGCACGAGTGGAGCGAGTGGCTGCAGGAAGGTCCCCAGAATGAGCATCTAAAGCTGGGTCGGGGAGGGCACCCTGCTGTTCTTCGTGCTTGTTGGACTTGGCATCGCTCGGGCGTGTGCATTTTTCCTTCGGCGAGGACCCTCGAGGAGCATCCTTGATCATGTGGCGAAAAAAAAACACGCGCGAAACCGACAAAAAAAGCACAGGGAATGGACCTCCGAGCGATGCCCAGTGGATGTTCTTGTGCATCCTGGGTGGGGGTAGCCTCGCATGTTGTTCTGTTCGGACGGCAGAGGGTCTCATGTTCTTGAAGGCTGTTCTTGGAAGTTCTTGTGCCTTAGGTCCGGCCGTATGTGTGTGTTGTCCGTTTTCCACCTACCCATGGGAGCCACTGCGTCTGGAAGGCAGCAAGGCCCACGTCGGCCAGATCGCTGGAAGCGCATGCTTTGTTGCTACCGCAGGCCATCTGCACGGAGAGGATATCCTCATGTCGTCGGGTTGCAGCCCCGCTGGAGGTCACGGGGTTGTGGGGGCGTGTTGGGAGAGGAACGAGGACAGAAAAGTGGAGGCCCGTGAGAGGAAGAGGAGCAGGAGGAGGAGGAGGAGGAGGAAGAGGAGGAGGAATACGTGGAAGAGGAGGAGGAATACGTGGAATAAGCACGAGGAGCACCAGGACGAGAAAGAGGAGGAGGAGGAGGTGGAGGAAGGGTGCTGCGATCGACGATCCCTTCAGCCACCAGGAACAGGAACAGGTGGAGGATGAGGCGCAAGGAGGAGGAGGAGAAGGGGGAGAAGGGCCGAGAGGGCAGGGGCGGCTGGGCCGTGCTCAGCCTCACCGAGCTGCACCCTCTCCAGAGGGTGCCACTCTGGCAGCCCGCGCGCGCATCTGCTGCGTCAAAACAGCAAACGCGGGCCACACGCCCGCGCGCCATGCGGGCACCGTCGCTATCAAATGACTCCGTGCGGGCCGCGCGCGCGCGACGCGTGCTGCCAGCGCGAGCGCGCGCGCCGATCCCCATCAGCGCCATCACCAGATCGCGCCAAACGAGCACGATTTCCTTGGCATCGCTCGGACGTGTGAATTTTCTTTCGGCGAGGACCATCGAGGAGCACCCTCGATCATTTGGCGAAAAAACCACGCACGAAACCGACAAAAAAACACAGGAAATGGACGTCCGAGCGATGGCCAGGTTCCACGGCCACGCGGGCTACGCCCGCGCGCGCGCGCGCGTTTTGTCCCCAGCGGCGCCAGGCTCCAGCTGCACGCGCGCGACTTGACTAAACTCGAACACTCGCAAGACTTTTCGCAGGTGCTGACCATCTTGTCATACATAGATCGATGCACGTATGCATATACACATGTATCTACACATGAAACCAAAGAACAACCCAATCATAATATGTTTAGGGCTATAGGGCTCCAGGGCTATAGGGCTATAAGGCTCTGGGGCTATAGGGCTACAGGGCTATAGGGCTACTATAGGGCTACAAGACTATAAGGCTATCGGGCTATAGGGCTAGAGGGCTATTAGGGCTATAGGTATCTAGGGCTATAGGGCTATAAGTTATAAGGCTATAAGGCACTAAGGTAACCCAGACCCTGTGGGCATTGTCCCCATGATCCGTTTCGACCCCCACCCCCCCGCATGGAAGATCATCTATTCGAACGCCTTGTTCCGTGCGCTTTGGGATCGTCATCCAACAATGCGCACTCACTCTGATGTTGTTTCATGCTTACATGTACATAAACATACATAAAGGGAGAGAGAGGGAATGCGCGTGTGTGTGTGCAAGAGAAAAGGAGAGAGTGAGCTAGAGAGAGAGGGATATCAAGAGAGAGAGATAGAGACGGAGAGGAACAACAAACAACAACAGCATGAACGAGATGGAGAAATCAACCATGGAGAGAGGGAGGGGGAGAGAAAGACACGGAAGGAACGAGAGAGAGAGAGAGAGCGCGAGAGGGAAATAATATGAGAGAGAGAGATAATGAGAGATAGTGAGAATGAGAGGAAGAGAGAGGGATAGAGAGAGAGAGAGAGCGCGAGAGACAGATATTGGAGAGCGAGAGGGGGGAGAGACAGAAGGAGATATTTGTTTCGAACGGCTGGCAGACGAATGCAGGAGGGGCCGCAGGGGGGCGATCGGCTGCGCCTGCTCCTTCTCCCACATATCCTTCTCAGAGCCGTGGCCGTCCTCGCTGTCGTCCCGAACTCCCCCTTCCGCGTTGACCCCGTGGCCACGCGCTCCCAGCCATCGCTGCCCTGGCATCGCTCGGACGTGTGCACTTTTTTCTCGGCGAGTACCCTGGAGGAGCATCCTGGACCATCGAGCAAAAAAAAAAAAACGCGCACGACACCGACACAATGCACGGGAAGGGGACGTGCGAGCGACGGCAAAAGCTGCGGCCTCCCGCCGAGGAGGAGGACGTGGCGGAGGGGGCCGAGGGGCCCGGGAAGAAGCGGCGGCGCATCTGCGGCGTGAACACGCTGGAGAGGAGCGCCGCCTTCCGCCACCCACCAACCCACCCCAACCCAGCCCGAAGGCTCGGATTTGCCCTCGATTTCCAGTATGGGGGGGGGGTCGGGAAGCATCGAGAAAACACGTGTGGAGCCCTTACCCCCCCCCCAACCCGAAACTCGGGTCTTCGGGTTGGGCTGGGGTGGCCTGGTAGGCAGTCAGCCCGCCGCCGAGGGCCGCGCCCCCCCCCCTTCGGGCCTCCCTCTCTCTCTGTGCGGCAGGAGGCCGCGCTCCGGCCAGGACGCAGAGCACTTGCTTACACCCTGCGAAATGCTTTAGAAGTCATGGGTTAAGAAATTCATAGTCTCAGAATTTGAATAAAAAACCCAGAATGTTCATTCAAATCTTAGGATTTACACTGCAACATTAAGAATAATCGAGACTCCGGCCGAACACTTGGGTTCTCTTAAGCATCGCCTAGAGTGTACCAGCCTGGGACATATCCCTATCCCTATGCTGGGCGTCGCCTCGTCACGATGCCGATCTCAGGGATTCCCTCTTTTTTTTGAGGGCGCACCCCTAAGATTGTCATCGCCGTTTGGCGTGTCAGTCTTAGGGATAGGGATCAGTTCGAGGCTGGTAACTCCAGGGCTCATTTCGACTCCTCCGATTCGAATCGATTCGATTTCGATGGCTTCCGATTCCGATTCGATTCGACTTGGGACTCCGATTCGGATTCCGACTTCTTATGGGACGCATAGTAGCCTTCCGATTTCCGCTGATCCGACTTTTCCCGACTCGGCTGCCGATTTCCGCCGATCCGATTCATTTAGATCGCCGATCCGACTTATCGATTCGATTATGGGCTCTCCTGGGTAAAGGACGCAGAGCACGTGCGAGGTTCCCAGGCCCCCTCGAGCCATGACACAAAGTCACGGCGAGGGGTAAAACAGGGCTAGGATCGGGATAAATCGCTCCAGAGCGTTCCGGAGCGCTCCGTGAGCGTTCCGGAACGCTCTGGAGCGGCCGCGGCGCCCAATACATCCTCCAAACCCGCCGATTCTCAGAGATCTCGAGCTATCCCGATCCGATCTTGTCCCGATCTTCGCGTCGTTTTAAAGGGGGGGAGGGAGGGGTCGCTGTTCTCGGACCCCCTGGGGGCCCTCGCCGGCCTCGGGGCCGTCGGAGAACGGCTCGGGACGAGAAGCCGGCCCCAGGGAAGGGGTCGAGACCTCCGGGGGGGGGGGGGGCCACGTCGTGGCAGAAGTCATGACGTCAGGGATGTGTCCGAGGCTGGTAGCGTCTGGGGGCGCCGCCACCTCCCCTCCCCTCCTCCTCCTCCTCCTCCTCCTCCTCCTCCTCCTCCTCCTCCTCCTCCTCCTCCTCCTCCTCCTCCTCCTCCTCCTCCTCCTCCTCCTCCTCCTCCTCCTCCTCCTCCTCCTCCTCCCTTTCCTCCTCCTCCTCCTCCTCCTCCTCCTCCTCCTCCTCCTCCTCCTCCTCCTCCTCCTCCTGGGCTAACACGCGGCCGTCAGGGGTTTCGGTTTTGGGGCGTTTTGCGTCTGTGGTCGGACGAAGGCTAGGGCGAAGACGGGTCCGTGCCGGAGCGCTCCGGAAGCCGCTCCCCGACAGCCCACGAGGGCCCCAAGAGCCCTCCCAAGAGGGCCCCAAGAGGCCAAAATGGCCCCCGCTCCGTGCGGAAAACGTATTTTTTTCAGGGATTCGCCTCTGGACCATCCAGGGGAGCGAAGACGGCCCGAGAGGCCGCCAGGATCGCCCCAAGACAGCCCAAGAGGGCAGAGCGCTCGGGGAGCGCTTTGGGAAGGCCGCGGGGCCCGAGGCGGCCTCTCCAGGGGCCGCCGGGTCTCGGAGGTGCGCGGTGGCGCGGTGGCCTTGGGATCCCAATGCCTCGGGCCTCGCCCCCGTCCCCCCCCCCCCCCGGCCTCGAGAGAGAGAGAGAGAGAATCAGGAGGGGGAAAAACACACAGGCACAATTCATCGTCGATTCCCTCGAAAATAATTGGAAGAGATGGGAGGTAAGTAGGGGGGAAGACAAGAACCCAGAGCATGTGGGAAAATATGGGAAATATTATTATCTGTGCGTATGTATTTGTGTGTCCCAGGGCCCCTTCAGAGAAGCCGAGCTCGGCGGGCCAGGTTTACCTGCCGTCAACCGGCGGCCTGCCCGGGGGAAAGTCTATATATATATATATATATATATATATATATAGGCCTTCTAGGTTTCTGTCGGGCACGGCCCTCCAGGGGGGGAGCATTCACAAATCGTCACACACGCACACAAGACAGGCTTGGGACATTTTGTCTTGGTATGCTTTGGTTATTGTACTTTTGCTGGTATGTGTTGTCTTGGTATATTTGGTCATGGTAGGATGTTTGCCTATTATCTGGCATGTTTTTGTATGTTTTGCCTTGGGACATGTTGCCTTGGTACGTTTTGTCTTGGTATGATGTTTGCCTATTCTCTGGTATGTTTTGGTTCTTGTGAATTTTAGTCCCAAGATCCGCCTGTGGGTGGACATACCCGGCCTAATCCTGGATGGGGTCGGAGTAGGTGGGGTCGGAGGATGACGCCGCATCGCCCATGCATCGCCGATGCGGCTCGACGTGCGGCCCGATGTGCTTCACGCCGACGTCGCCGGTGCATCGCCGACGTCGACGATGCATCGCGGGTCCATCGCCGATGCATCGCGGGTGCATCGGCGATGCGGCGCGATCCTCCGGCCCCATCGACTCCGACCCCATCTAGGTGTCCTCTAGGAAGTGGGAAGGGGTGGGCTTTCTCTCAGAAAGCTCGGAAGTTCCCCCGCCTTCCGAGAAGTCTTCTGAGCCTTCCCTGGCGACACTGAAAGCCTCTCAGAAGGCCTCCGAAGCCCCACCGCCTTCTGAGAAGGCCTTCTCCATGGACCTTCCCCACCTCGCTCGCCGCCGAATCAGAAGGCCAAGGTCTGGGGCCGATGCCAATCATCGTTCTCACCTTCTAGCCACAGCGTCGATGGAAGCACCGGGTGTCGCTTCGTACAGCGACGCGTTCGGTGTGGCTACTTCTGCAGACAATGCCGTTGCGTTCGGCGCAATACAAGGTCGGAGAACGGGTGGATTCGCCTACGCTATGTTCCTGCTCTGGAACAGGTCCCACATGGCACTCCAGGACCAACCTGCAGCCCGGTGAGGGTCTGCTTGGTTGCTGTATGCCCCCTTAGTCCAGAAAACATCTCAGTGGTGGAGCCGTCAGGGCAAGATCTGAAGCAAGAGACCGGCCAGCGTGAAGGAGCTCCAGGGACCGCTTATTAAAAAAACGTCAAGGTTGGAGATGCGGGCAGAGGTGGGGGATGACGAGCGAGGATGTGGCGGGAGGAGTGAGGGGGATCCTCGATGGATGCAGGAAGAAGAAGGAGGTGGAGGAGGGCGTTGCAGGGCGAGGAGGAGATGAGTGAGGAGTGAGGAGTGGGAGGAGGAGTGGGACGGGGAGGAGGAAAACGAGGAGGAGAGGGGGCAGGAGGAGGAGGAGGAGGTGGAGGAGGTGGAGGAAGAGGAGGTGGAGGAGGTGGAGGAAGAGGAGGTGGAGGAGGTGGAGTAGGAGGAGGAGGAGAGGAGGAGGAGAGGAGGAGGAGGGAGGAGGAGGGGGATAGGGGACGCTTCTGGGTGTGGCTTCCTTGGGAGGCCAAGGGCGAGGCGTCCTCTCGCGAACGGGGGGGGCGAGGGCGAAAAAGGAGGAGAGAGGCGGGCGGGGGCGAGGGAGGAGGGCAAGGAGGGGGGGGGGGCTGGGCACTTGGGGCGGCCCGCCCTCTCTGGCTCAGGCCTCCGCCAAACTTCTCTCTCTAGCCGCGGCGGTTCCCCCAAGGGCCCCCGGCCCCCTGCCGCTCCAGCTCCCGCCCCCGCTCCCGCTCCCTCCCCTCCTCCTCCTCCTCCTCCTCCCCCTCCTCCTCCTCCTCCTCCTCCCCCTCCTCCTCCTCCTCCTCCTCCTCTCCTCCTCTTTCTCCTTCTCCTCCTCCTCCTCCTCCTCCTCCTCCTTCCTCCCTTCTCCTCCTCCCTCCTCCTCCTCCTCCTCCCTCCTCCTCCTCCTCCTCCTCCTCCTCCTCCTCCTCCTCCTCCTCCTCCTCCTCCTCCTCCTCCCTCCGGGCCAGCAGTCCGTCGCCCTCGGGGGGCAGCTCCATTGAAGGCCCCGTGTGCTCGGGGCCCCAAATGTGCGTGGCGACGGACCGTGCGGTGGCCTCCAGGTCCCAAAAGTGAAGTCGGGCCTGTCCCTCTACAGGAGGAATATTCAGACATAGTCAAGAGATAGTCTGGGGCCCATTTTTTGAGCATTTTCTGAATCTGTTTGAGCATTTTTTGGGGTATTTTTCATGCCCGACCTAACCCAAGATGCCCCCACCGCGCAGTCCGTCACAGCACGGCCTCGGGACTCCGGACCTCGAAGGTCGCGGTCGCCCGAGGCGTCTTGGGAGAACGACCCGAGTCCCAAATTTCTGGACCTCCGAGATGGGTCAAGAGTAGATGGGGTCGGAGGGTCGCGCCGCATCGCCGATGCCATCGGCGATGCATCGGCGATGCGGCTCGATGTGGGGCCCGATGCTCTCCGCGCTGGCGTCGCCGAAGCATCGCCGACGTCGCCGATGCGTCGCCGATGCATCGCCGATGCATCGGCGATGCGGTGCGATCCCTCCGACCCCATCGAGGAGGCCTCTGGAGCCCGCGCGGTGACCCCAGATCTTTGCGGACTGCGGACGCCCCGCGCGCGCGGACGCCGACGAGACAGCGCCGGCAGGCTTCCCCTCGAGCCGCCACTGGCCCTCCTGCAGCGCCTCGGAGGCGGCCCCGGGCGCGTCCTGGGCGGCGTCCTGGCAAGACCTCCGAGGGGGCAGTCCGGCCGTGGCGACGATCGAAGAAGAACAGGCGCCATGAGCAGAAATATTCGGCGCTCCGCTGCGCCACCGTTAGATTCAGATCCATTCGCCAGTGCGGGTGGGGCTCTCTTGGAGTGGGCCCTGCAAGAGGCCGGGGCGCCCTGGATATGGACAC